CCGGAGTTAAACCACGACACCCATGAAAGGATTAACATCCAAACAATAACAGACTTACATGAGTAAATGAAAAATTGCCTAGAAACAGAAGCTTGATTATAAAGGATGAATGAAATAAATCTGGTTTCACTGAGCTTGAAAAAAACCCCAAAAACAAAAAAACAAAACAACCAAACAAAAAAACCCCAACAGAATAGATTTAATATCACAAAATTTAGTTATGAATTTGAAATATTATTTTAACTACTTCATATCTAAATGCTTTAGTTCAGGTTTGAAGGGCTTCTAATAATGGCTTTATTAAACAAACCTTGAAACCATCATTAAATATTCCTCTGGAAGTAACCAAAAAACATTTGAAGAACAAAGCATAGTCTTACCTTATAAAATAGAAGAATAAAGTTGATGGCAAATGCGACAAATAGAGCAAGAAACCTTAAGTTATAAAAATTTCTTGCCAAGTAATGCTGAAAGTAAAAAAAAAAAAAAAAAATCAGTGGTGGCCTGTAGTCGATATCAAGATAAGAAAAGCAGGCAGCAAGGTTTCTAAGAAAGTAAATACCTATAATTTTGTTGCCTTCATACACTAATTATAATAAGCATGGGCATTTTTTGGCAGCCTATTCTCCAATTTTATGGTAAGCGGGATTAAAAATAATGGGCTTAAAATTTCAACAGCAAAGACTGAAATAGCATATTAAGGAAAACTTTCTAGAAGGAGTCTGGAAAAGAAATGTTAGCATAGTGGAATAAACTACCTGAGAAGGTTTCAGAGAGTTCATAATTTGATGTCTTTAAGTAAAAAGAACAATCTTATAGAAAAGAAAACTATAGGTTCTAGAAGTTAGGTTATGGAAAATAAAGAGCTCCTAACAAGGAGCTCAAGAAGTTAGTCTTTCCTTTTAGACCAAGACAGGAAAAATTTCACATACAAACACTTTATTTATATAACTTATGAATTATTACAAAAATCACAACAGACTCAATGCAGCCAGTCATTTAAAAACTCATGCCATTGTTCCTTTTATAATTAAATTTCTACCTTCAGTGTGAAAGTAGTGTTCTATATTTCATAAATAAAAACTCAATGACTAAAAGAATTGAAGAAAAACTTACAAGCATTTTTGTTTGATAAATTTCCAAAGCTTTGAAGAAGTTAGCCATAACAGCCTCTGGTTTCTCAATTTTTTGTCCATGCCTTCGCTTCTTTTTCTTCAATTTTCCCTCTTCTAGCTGCTCAGATTGTACTTCCTTTGCTCTATCTTGTTTCTCACCATCTTCCATGCTAGAAGAAAGGTTATCTAAACAAAAATACCTAGCCAAACTTCTGTATTTTAAATGCATTAATTTAGCAGGAATTCTAATACAGAAAGCCTGGCTTTGAAAAATAGTTTTGACAGTGGGAGAAAAGTTATTGTAAGTAAAAGACTTGAGGCAGACAGCAAACCCGTAGTAAAAGAAAATGACCTTAGTTTCAAATGATATGCAGGAATAGAGCTGTTGAGGGGTGTTCAGAAGTGAAAAGAGCCAAAAACCAGGCAGAAATTACTGTGTCAAGTGTGAAGTGGATGATGTTTGCCAAAACCAGTGGTGTACATATAAACTCCAAAGAGTTCATGTGTACTTTCTTGAGCCTGGGGCTGAAGAACATAAGTAAAGGATTTGGGTCACAATATCAAAAAATGAATTAATTTCAGTCAAGGTGATCGCTGTTGTTACAGAGATAAATGTGTAATAGCAATGAAGTTTCTTTCAGAGGGCTGCACCTTACAAAGCATGTAGAAGATGACAATCATTCCTCCTGCAGCACTGAACTGCCTGTATGAAAATTAAGTATCGAGACTGTATGTAGTAATAGGGGAATTTAATTACTAAACTAAAAAAAAGCTGAATTTGCATATATGTAAAAGAATGTTGAGGCATTGAGGTGGTTGAAACTTTTAGGCATGAGGATAAAGAAATGCAGTATGTGGTTCACTTTCACACTACCCCTGCAGTAGGAATCATATGATGAGTGTCTAAGAATGTGATTATGTTCTACCAAAAAAAAAGTCCCTGTTGCAGCCTCCGAAATGTAAGCCATATAAACTGAAATTTTTTAGCTGAAGGCAATTCGAATATGCTATGAAGGTACTTGAGAGGAGAATTAAGCATGGCAGACAAGAGAAGACAATAGGGAATAGGGAGAATAAGTCCAATAAAATAATAGAGGTAGAAAGAGATCATGCTTATAGAAAATAAGAGGTGAAAAAGCCAAAAAAAAAGAGGTAAAAAAGCCTAAAATAAGAAAATGAGTGGCACAGGAGATTTTGTGTGAATACCTAGATGTTTATAAATTGCTTCACTAGAGCACTGGTGAATATGCTACTAGTGGTGAAATCAGTCAATAAAAAAACCCAGCAGCAACTTAATAGCACATTGTAACATGGTCTAGACAAACCAACCATTTCTGAAAGTGCTTAGTTTGAAATTATTGTCTTAATTCTGAGCAATCAACAGGTTCTCTGGAAACATGGTACCAAAAAAACCATACAAGAGTTTAAGTGCACTTTTTAATTACTGGAAGTGCTCTAAACAATGAAAATAATATGCTTAACATTTCTGTAGGGAATGAAGAGAGAGGCAAATCATATAGTAACAAATCTGTGAGAATAAAATAAAAGCAAGGGAATTTTTAATTGAAGAAGTATGTTAGATGCAGCCTGAAAGGTAACAGGTAGGAAATTAAAACATACTGGACCTTCATACATAATGTTGATGGCATAGTTTAATGAGATAACAGGAAAAAAAAATCTATGCAAATGCTCACGTGTGAGCATACGTATGTCTACACATACTTGTCCATTTAACACATACATGGATGCATATGCACATAAATAAACATGTATGCATACATACACACATATAAAAATATATATACATAGAAAAAAAAAAAAAGAAAATTTTCAGACAAGCTATACAAAGTGTATCTGAACCTAGAGTATTGACCTAAATGGCATCATTAAAAAAATTAACTTTGGCAGATGAGAGGAGAAAGATAAATGAGGCTCTAGTAAATATTTAAAAAATGAAGCAAAATAGAAAAAAAAAATCAAAAAATATGCACAGCTTTGGAACATGCACAAATCTCTGGGAGATCTTTGGCATTTGTCTACAAATGTTTTAAGGGCATTCATCAGACCGCAAGCCTGCAATGTAACTGCAGGTCCAGAAAGACAGCATGACCCTTAGGAGCAGAATGCTTTTAAAAGTGAGGTAAGCACTGTAAAAGTTGTTTCTAGGCAGGCATATGTAGGGTGACTGGACAAAGGAATGTATCTGCTGTCAAATTCAAAACGTGATATAAAAATTGTTGGGTTAGTCAAATCTTGTGTTTCAATGATCGACTACTGTTGTCTGAAAATTATAGTGGGTAGAAGGGAAAGCGTAAATAGCAGTTATGACAAGTTGTGGACTGGTGCTCACTTTTAAAGACAATTATGGGATTTTTTAAAAGACAAGAGCCACAAATTTCTATATGCACAATGGTCAAGGGCCATAAAAATCAGGTTCCCATTTTGTTGCCCACTGAGATGGTCTGCCCCCTCTTAGGGACTGTGCTGCTTTTCAAAATATTGATAACACAAAGGGTAGATAAAGTGCTTGGAATACTGAGCATTGCTTGGGTTCTTTCTGGCCAAATTACCTAGCACTAGGAAATCACAAGGAATTAAAACAGGAATTGTGTAAAAAATACTTACTCAGCCTTCTCAGCTTCTGCTTTTCTCTCTGTTTCAGCTTCTTTTGCAATTTCAGATATCTGCAGAAAGTATTTTGCATTTGTCAAAATGAATCCATACAAATAAAATTTTGGTAATTTTAGTTACTGTTTTCTAAGAAAGAAATACTTACCACGCTATATTTTTTTATATCACTTTGCTCATTTAAAGTGTTAGCTTTTAAAAATAGACAGCTCAGACTAGATTTTAATAGTGAAAACTGCAAAAATTCTTCTGATAGCCTTTTTCAGTATGCTGTTATCAATCCTGTAACTGGCCTGGTTGACTGAACAACGTGAAGTAGTTACATCTGGTAGGCAGACAGATTGTGACCAGTTGAGGATGAAGGTGACTACAACCAAATCATACCCTAATACAAAGGTCACTCACAAAGACCCAGTGCAGCTGCTGATTATGTGGAAGAAAAACATCAGTTTGCCTCATTCCAAATATGAAATGAGAAATAATACACCAATGATGCTATCAAAAATCTGAAAAATATCTGTATAGATATGATTAGATACGATATAGATATATGATAGATATATAGACACATATAATCACACAGATATATAGAGATACATATAGAGAGAGATATACATAGACATGATATGATATAGATCTTTAGTCACACGCCTCACAACTATCTAAGTATGTGTTTACAACATTCCCTTGAGATAAGGAAAAAAACAATATATAATTTTATATATGGCTAACTGCAGCAAAGGGGCTTATCCCGGGTTTCAGATGCCTTTAAGCTCAGTGCTGCAAGACCAAAATAAACTCGTTTCAAAAGCAGTTTGAGTATCTAAGCTACACTGGAAATCAGACAGATGTAGGCTCCCAAGTCCCAGATTCACAAAGGAATCTAAAATGCCTAAATTCATTACTTTTGCAGAAGCCTATCTTAGCTTTTCACCCTCTTCTGTATTCTCTCAAAGTGCTTAGAGACCACTTGTTTCTTAGTGTATTCTCCTACATTGCTGGTTAATACATGAATACTGTTATCTAAAATTTCCCCCCACTGCTCCCCTGGATGCCTCTCTCTCGCACATAAGCAGTGAAAGAATTACAAAAGAATTTACTAAATCGATCTCGCCTTGCTTATCTCACCTCTTATCTGTGGAACCTCCTCTAGTACGCGTGACGGAAACATGTGTAACTCTCCCACAAAGAGTTTCCCCTAAGATCTGAAGCTGGTGAAGGGTAATTCAGAGATCATTTGATGACACCTAGTTCTTCTGAGGTGTAGGGTGGGAGAAGAATGTATGACTTCCTCTCCATCCCTCTATCATATGCTCTGCTCAATTGTCTCCTTTCCAGGCTGAAGAGCCTTAACTACTTTAATTTCATTTTTCCATATCAATATTTTTTAATGTTTTTACCTTCGCTGAACTCTTTTTTTTTTTTTTCATTTTATCACATTCTGTTTGAAATGGGGGAAGCTGGACCTCAAGACACAGATACACCTTGGGTTCATGGAGCATAGTAATGTTCTGGCATTTTCCTCTATTCTTTTCTCAACAATTCAAAACTTCAGTTCGCTTTTTTGATCTGGGCTGATTGATATTTTCATTGCACTGATGCTTCTGTACAACTCTATTACATTCCCAAGATTTCATACCCAAGCAGTATCAATGAGCTCAAAATCCAGTATTTTACATGTAAAATTATAACTTTTCTTCCCATATGTATCACTTAACTAATTTTCATCAGCTATTTTAAGGGTCTTCTGCAACTTTGCAGTTAGTTCTTGATTTTACCGTTATGAATAACTGAGATTTATCAGCAAACTCTGGGAGCTCACTACTCCCTTCTTTTCTTTTTGCATGGCTCTCAAAACAGATTCCTGTGGAACTCCACAGTAAAAACTAAGTCCTAACAATCATCATCATATACAATTCCATAGGTTATTTTGGAGTTTCTCTGGCTATATGATAATGTCATTGACCTTAGCGCTACACAATTGCTTTTCCAGTACATAGAGGTGAATTTCTGTGTCTATCCATTTGTTTTATTCTTGTAAATACTTATGAAAGATATAGTGAATTCCTGAAGGGAATTGTTGATTCTTACGTTGCTGTTTCTTCTTTGAGCAACACTTAATATTTGTATCACATCATGAGTGCTATAACTGGATTACTTGAGCCATTCACATACGCAATGTGAAGAGCAATTTCTGTAATATAGAATTAGTGTCAAAATTATTTTGTTAAGTTTCACTAGATAACATATTAAAGGTAAAAGCTGATTTCACATTAATGACTCAAAGTATCTGCAGAAATTACTGAACATTTTTACTGTTACAAACAAATCTGAAAGAAAAGTATAAATCAAAGTAAAGCAAAGAAGATTCTAAAAAAATTACTCAGATGTGCAGTAAAATATTTACTTCAACTGTTTTTGAAGAAAATGCTAAAATATTTACTCAGACCTACTAAGATCATTAAGTTAAAACAGTATTTTTAAATACCAACCACATTAAATCTATGCTAAATGAGGCAGGATTTTAAAAGGCTGTAATTTTAAAGTGCATACATAAAAATGAATTAATAAATAAATAAGAAAATTACATGAAAAATATATTTGATCTAGGCAATAAACAAATCTTGGAGAAAAATATATGAATGAAGAGGAAGTAATGAGCTAAAAAGTTGTACAACGGGTTTATCTTGAAAATATCTGGAAAGCACTCCATAAGGAGGTGGATTAATGATAAGGGGAAAGATGTATTTAAATAACAAGTAGAAACAGATCTAAAGTGTAGACTGAAACATAATGCCTTCCAAATATGACAAATACATTTGAGTTTTGACATTTAGTTCAATCCATTTTGAAATAGAATGACAAATTATATTTAGCTCAGCTGAGTGGAACAAAATATATTGTTCATAAACCAGAATAAAAGTAAAGAATGTTTATGTGATAAACATTAAAGTAACAATAAATTCAGGAAAAGTAACATCAAATAATAGAAAAAAGGATATTCTATGTGATCAGTAAAGCATGTAGAAGAAAGATGATAAGGCATTATTATGGTGAAAGTATATTGTAAAAGTAATTGAAATATACTGTGAGAAACATCGTATGCAGAATAAACAAGACTGTGAACCATTTAAAGCAAAAGTTGTGCCTAGATAGCTGCTAGCAATTTTTGTTTTGAATAAAGTCCAAATGTAAAATTACAACAATTTACTGGAGTGAAATCTAAACATACTGGGCTGAATTTTTCTGCAAAAACTCCTGTTTGTATTTAAAAGAGTACAGATTATGAAGTATATTCTCATCAAGTACACTTATTAATCAGTTAACTGGCAATTATTTCAGATACTAATATAAAATTCAGTAATATATTTACAATTCTTTTTTGCAAGGAAATACAAAATCTCTTTAACGTACCTGTAATCCTTTTTTCTTACGAACTGTGTTTTCCAAAGATGACTGGATATCAGTACCAAGGATTTCTGCAATATCTCCAAGTCCAGCATCATGACCATGTTTTGAGCCTCCTTCTTTCTTTGTATGAATGCCAAAAATGTCTGAGATTATGTCAGTTTCAACCTTTTCACCCTTCACAAACTGCGCAAGTTCAGCTCTGATGCCATGCTGAGCGCCTTCAGCTTTTTCTGCTTCCATAACATCATCATGGATTCCAAACTGTGTCGGGTCAGGCATGTCCCCTAATATTTTAGTAACTTTAATGTTTTTGGCTCCTTCAACCAGGCCACCCCCAAATACAGTGCTCCAAAGAATCTGGAAAATTCCCCACACTATAGTAAAGAACAGTTGGAACATCCCTACAAATAGGATCCAGAAAAAGGAGAAAAACACTTTCACCATCTCTTTTACTGTCATCTTTCTAACTTTCCTGTATTGTTTCCGTAGGTTCTTCATAGTGACCATTTTAAAAAAGTTGGCGACATTCTTCTTCACTGAAACACAGGCCATTGCAAAAGCTGAAGCAGGTTCCAGGGACTTTTCTTCTTCTTCATCATCTCCAATATCCACTACATAACAAGGCTCTGCCTCTTCCTCTTCCTCAAGCCTATCAGATGAATCCGTTTCAGAGATCTGGGATGCTAACTGCATTTCAAAGATTGTGTCTTCACAGAAATTCACAAAGAGTTCCATTTTTTCTTGCTCTCCGCCTTCATTTACAACATCAAATATGAACTGCCTTTTGGATTCCTTCACCTGTGGCTTCTCCCACTGCATTCTACTGGATTCACTGATTTCAAAGTAAACTCTTTCTATTTTCTTGGCCCCACCCATTATTTCAATACGTCCGAGGTATGGTTCAAAGTAATTAAGAACACTTTCTGCAGGTTCAAGTAAGCTCTGAAGGCGTGAATCATTAGGCATGTGCTCTGAAAGGTTTGTTAGCAATACTGCTACATTAAATCCAATGTCTTTGGCTGGTTCATGGAATCTTTCCACAAAATCAACATAGTTAAACATATCATTTTCATCAGCTTCTGGAATTCAATCTCTGACTGTATATATTGTTTTTGAGCCTCCATTGATTTCTGGAATTCCTTCTTTGAAATGATGCCTTTGCCTTCTGGGTCATGTTCTTTGAAAGCTTCTGAGTTAGTCAGATCTTTTAACTTGAGGAACATGTCAAAGAACTTCAAAATCATTTCTACATTGCTAGATGATTCTACAAGTGTGTCTACCATTTGCTTTCCAATAGTTCCATTTACGACGTTACCTAAGTAGTGTGTTAAAACAGGAAGTTATTTGGCATCACTATATTTTAAATAAATAATTTTAATATTCATGCTAAGAACAGAACAAAAATATTCTTAAATCAGACTTTTTCATGAGTATGTGTATTCCAGAATAATTGTTAAATATGAAATAGGTTTTCTCCTGGAACTACATAAAGGCAATTAAAAACCAGTTTAGAACGATTAACGTAATTATCATACTTTACATTATGAAGCTGAGATAATAATATTTGACCATAAAGAGAAACAGGTCCAACCTTCAAGCAGTGACAAGAGCATCACTACCATATCCTTCAGCAGATCTAGCAGTTCTTTTAGCAATTCAATCTGAGCAGAGTCCTGTAAAAAAACCCAAAAAAACAAAATACCAAAACCCACAAAACACAACCACAAAAACCACAGAGTGTAATGGGGTTTTTTTGTATTTATCTGGAAAACTAAATGCATTGGGAAAAAAATTATACGCAGGATGGTCATTTAAATGTAGTTTAAATTTTTCAGCAACATTTCATTATTTACGATGATTAGTATCAGAAGTCTTATACAATATGAGGGTAACCCACTATAGCAGAGGTATTAATACCATAAAGATAAGATTTAATAAGGGATTAAGGAGTACCGAAGTGCAGATGAGGGACAGCAGAAACTCACAAAATTGGTTACTCCACAGATTTGGCAGATTTCAGCTCAGAAGGAATTGCTCCTTCCTCACTTCACGTGGAATATTTAATGGCATAACGCATTACCACTCAAACAGAACTAGAACTGTTCAAGGACAGACCATGGTAAGTCTAACATGGATTTGTGACTAACATTAAGGACCTAAAAACTGTTTTTTATCTTCAAAATTCTAATGTACTTTTGTAGGGTGGGAAGAAGTTAGTACCTCAGAAGTTAGCAGAGACACTGACTAAGAGTGAGGAAATGGCTCTGCACTGTTGCATTCAATGCATAGTGCCTTGAATGTATGGGTACATTAAGCAGACGTCTCAGAAGAACATAGAAGCCTGAAATGTGAATAGGGGTGGGACTCAAAATGCCCTGCATAGTGAAATGGACGCTGTTGCTCGTTATGAATTAACTGGCCAAGTTGGCTGACAGTCACATTCCCTCCCTCTTTCAATCTTTCCCAGCTTTTCTCTTGCTCTACCTTTTAGCATGGGAACCATACTTTTAATCGTGCTTCTGCTCTGACAGATCATACAGTACTGGCAACAGGGAGGAAGGGACCAAATTGCCACCGTCATTATCAGAAATGTGTAACTGAGTTAGAAGCAGTGAGTTTGATATTAGAAAAGGTGAGTGAACTGTGATAATTAATGCTAAAAGGAGTGATATGCAGATGTTAGTCCAGAGATTCACTCTTGGACCTCTGCATTGCAATAGGCCTATGCACAACCAATGAGTATCGACACACTGACTGCTTTACAGCTTTCAACTTTCATTTGACTGTAATTTATAAACATATGCAAAGAAGGATTACTTGACTATTGAAGATACCTGTGAAAGTTTCATCTGCATATTGGCAAAGACATGAAGAAACCCAACAACTGCATCCCACAGCCTACTATGAGCCAGACTCTGTTGATTACCTATGCAAGGGCCCTAAAAATAAAAGAAAAAAAAAATTTAATTTATATAAAACAAAACATATAAAACCAAAGTAAACTATGTACTTTCCTAAGATTTCTCACTGAAAAAATAAAAAAAGGAACTTCAGGCTTCCATGAAGCTACATGAGAAGCTTCCCACAGTTCCTTTGGTATCTAGTGCATAAATAATAGATTGCATCCTGTTAAATGTGCAGCCATTCACATTTTTTAGCATTAATTTTACACTAGGCCCAGGATTCCATGTAACTTTATCAAAATCAAGCAAAATAAAGCCAAGATATTTACAAATCTATGATAGTTCATGATGAGGTCATGTAATAATAGAACTTCAGTGTTGGTACCTTGTGCAAAACATTTTGTTTACCTGGATATATTCTGTAAGGGAATTGAATATTTGTTTGGTGACAGCCAAAGCTTTAGAGAAGTTACGTTGTCCTGATTCATCAATGACATCCTTTCCTGAATAATACCAATAGAAGTCACTGATTGATTCCTATATAAAAAACAATAATGTTATATTTTCTAATTTTGGATTCTGCATGAAGTATTTACTGCGTGCAATTTTATGGCCAAAGGTTGAATCAACAGCAGATGAAATTTAATATTTCTGTGTCAATCTATTTCTCATGACAATAACTTTCTGCATTTAGATCTAAATATTCCGCCTGCAGGAGTGAAAAAACATCTGGTTTCATACAGAATTATGAAAGGTCAAGTGTTTTAAAAGGAAAGAAGAGATTAAATAAATTAAATCAGAATTATTTATTTTAGATATCCCCGAAGAGGGTATTTTCACATTTGATTCCAGTAAAATGTGAATTTATAAAAATGAAGGAAGGACAAATATGTTATACAACATTTTCCTCTGTTTTTTCCTCACCTGAAGACGCAAGAGATAGTCAACTGTACTAATGATAATATTCACTGTTGTGGTGTTGCCCATCTGAGTACGTAGATAATTTTGAAAATCTGAAATAGTGATTTGTGCTTGATTAGTATACATAAAAATAAAATATCCAAGGTTATTTTCATGGAAACATTGAGAATACATTCTTTTTAAGTACCTTGTTGGGTATAGATGCTTACATGGTTGAAATTGAACTACAGTAGATCACAATGTAAATATAACTGAAGAACTGTTATCTACATGATCTACAATAGGCTTTACTATTAGGATTGGCATAAAAACTGAAATTATATTAAGACTTAAATATTCAAATTGAAATCTGCAATTCAAATTGTTGGCATGCCAGTTTCCCTCAGAAAATGAAATGAAATATGAGGAAAAAACCATTAGAATCAGTTCTATCCAACTCTGTTTAAGGACAGACTCATCTCACCTTTTCCAAAAAGTTAATTCAATTGACTTACCATTGTTATGCCCTTCACAGAGCAGTTGTAAAAATCTAAATAAATCTCGAGTAAATTCATCATGCTGCAACACCTTTTCACCTTTAAAATATATAGATAAAATTATTATGTGAAAACTCTTATGATTAAAGATGCAGAACACATAATCTTAGAGCAACCTTTAAAACTGGAATTCTAATAAAAAACAGTATTATAAAAGCATTAAAGCAATTTAAATGAAACAGACAGATAATATTGAAAAGAAAAACTGAGACAGAAAAAGCAAAGCCAAAATATTTAGCACTCCAATGCATCCATGATTAAAAAAAAAAAAAAAAGAAAGCAACAGGGTATATATCTAATAAGTAAATGGTTAGTCATAGCTAAAATCATGCCTTAAATATGAATGACACTTCTTTAATAAGCATCAAACTGTTTATCCAAGCTGAACACACAACCTGCTGCAGACCATAAAACTAAACCTAAAGATATCTGGGAAGATGCAATTAAAGACTTTCTATTTGCAACACATTTTGCAACAATAGTATTGAAAACTGTAAACCCAAACATACCACGCTCACGAACGATGACTGTGGATCAAAGAAAAATAACAAGAATACAGGATAAGAATTTTGGAAGTTACAATGTTTTTCTTAAAAATTATTGCTAAAGATTTTGTAAATATAAAGCATACTCAGAACTCAAATCCTAGAATTATTTATAGTAAGTTTATCAACAGAAACCTCAAGCCACAGTAAATAGTTCTAGTTAAAGAAGGAAGCATGAATATTTTAAGCACTACTAGGATCAATTTCATTCTACTTACGAGTTCCTTCTTCAGTAACCATTCCCAGGCCTTCTGCTTTATTTTGTCTCTCAAACGCATTCAAGTCAAGAACACTTATATTGAAAACAAACAAAGAAACAAAAAACCAACAAACAGGAAGAAGTATTACAATACACAATGGAAAAATGGAAAATCATTTTCCTCTAGGAAATCCCCAGAGGTCTTCATCAACTGGTCTTGAGCACTTATTGCAGTTATTTCTCAGTCACACCGTTTTCCACTGTTATCACTATTATTTCTGTCATATTGCTACTGTATATATTATGCATTATTATGCTGTTCAGAAGTCATGGAATGTCCAATTCCATATTCAGAAGACATGTATGGAATCAGATATTCCATATCTTCCAAGGTCAAAATACACTGATATTTAAATTTTCTTTTGCTAACTTGGCATAGCCCAGCACCTGGAATAGCAGATGATGATTTTTCCCACCACCCAGTCAGAATACTTTCATTCAAACAGACCAAATACAATTCTATGATTATCTACCTTTTTTTTTTTCCCAGATAGACAGCAATGCAGTCATGTATTCTACTATCTAGTGACATCATTAAAACCAAAAGCATTTTTAAAGCATCATTTTTATGCTCTTGTTGGCATTCAAGTAATTTTATCAAAACCTTTTTTAATAAAGTCCTGAATGATGCACAAACACAATTGGTAATATTATCACTGCAGGTCCTTTTTGAGCAAGTCCTGGCTGAATTGTTCTACATAAATGAAAAAAATTACAAGATAGATGTTATTTAATTAGGTTGCAATGATTCAGCACTAACTTTCGCAGTGCGTCACTGTTGCTTGTCTTCATATAGATTCTCTGCTTCTAATCCCTAGTCTATTCCAAAACCCTTCCGTTGTTAAAAAAGACTGAGAAAAGGAGGTTGTCTACTTTAAGAGTAATCAGAAACACCAACAGTTTTCCACTTTCTTCCTAGGAGTGCTTTACATTAACTAATGTGAACTTCTGGTTTATCAGGGGAATGGACTACTGTAGTCTCACTGGCCACATGCCATCTCTAACAAACCTAATACTGATGCATAGGATTCAGATGAAGACAAAGAGATTATGTAACTTGTCAGAGATGTGCAGAATCTGGAACCTTATTAAAGCTTCAGTAGCCTGTCTCTCCTTCCATGATGGCTTTCCTCCACCCTTAGAACCACCTAGACAGAAAACTTGAGGGATCTGGAACTAGTAAAGGAGCCCTTATTTTTTACCTCAAAGACGTACACAATATTTGCTTTATTTTCTTGTTTGGAAGAATACTCTAAGAGACTAACATAATATTCTGATTCACAAAAAAACTCCCATGAGAGTTCTACAGTCTATGGCTCCTGTAAATTAAATCTAATAAATCCACCTGCACTGAGCAATAAGCCACCAACCTGAATAAAACTGAAATTGTAATAATATAATTTAAGTTTTTACCTGCAGGACTGCATCAAGCCAGAGAGACTTTGAAAAAATCCAGCATCCTTCTTCTCCTTCAAGTAGTCCAGCATTTTCTAGAGGGCATACATTTTTGGGGGGGGGGGGGAGGGAAAAAAAAATCTGTATTAAAAATATTTGAATTAACAACTTCCTGCATTACAATTCAAAATGCAAATCACTGGCAAGCAAAAATATCATTGTTATTGTACCAAAAATAACAGGTTGTTTCTTCACTGTTTAGCTTAAAATTAAATGCACTAAACATTAAAAATCTCAAAATTTCTTGCCTCCTTTATACAAGCAAGCCTTACAGTAGTTAGAAAAGCATTACCTGTTGAACTATGGTATTCCCACCATTTAGAATAGCAATACCAAGTTTTAGTGTTTCAACAACCGTGGGTCCAGTGTGACCTGTCAGAACAAGACTACGGTCATTAAAACTTGCAATTCAATCAGAAAAGCAATCTGGAAATTTTATCTAGTATAGTTTTAACTAACATTTATTTTGTCTCATTATATACCATATACAAGTTGTATATAATATACATATCATAGGTATGGTGACATAATATACTACACGTACTGCATTACACCTATGATATGTATACCATGTACACTTTTAATACTTCACGGAACATTACCTTTGCTTGCGCTAATCATCTGAAGGACCATCTCAGCAGCTCCACGATCATGTAAGCGAGCTTGTTGATAAAGAGTTCTCTGTTTTTCCATTTCTTTCTCCTGGGTTTGGGAACAAAAATGAGAACAGAATACAGACTGGAACTGATTCAGGAAAAATAAGATGAGAAATCTGAAGTTGTTGAAGGCCATCTGCCTCCATAATCCATGGGTTGTTTCATTCAAAACTTGAGAACACCCTGTCTTTCTTATATGTGAATATCCAACCAGCTGTAAACCAGCTCAATACACACTGTGTTATTCTTGCATTTATTCTAGTGAATATATTTAAAATAGTTGCACATTACACAATGAGAAAGAAATGTTATTTAACCTCTTACCTCAAATGTCTTTTCTTTTTCTTCTTCCTCTTCTTCTTCTTCCTGGCAGCTCTTTTTATATTAGAAACAGAAGTCACAATATTTGACTTAGTATGAAACATAATGGGTTTTTTTACTATAGTATTTCCACAAAACTGGCCAAAGAAAATTTTTTTCAGGCAATAATTAAAGGCATTAAGATGATTTTAAATCCCTGTATTCTCTAGTATTTTTGCTCATTCACACTAGGAAGCTGATATTCCCTAATGTATGAGTACTTCAGGGTATTCATCCAACTACATATACACCCTGGAACTGCAGGATATATGTTCTTGTGTCATATCTCTATCTATACCCATAATATTTATCTTCACAGTCAAACTCTCCTCACATATGTCAGCTGCAATCAATATGTTGCAAAAGTTGATTGCCAAGTTATTTTTGGCAGACTTCAAATATTAACTCCAAAGTAATTACCCAAAGAATAAAAGACAACTAACATTGTTAAGACTGTTCATGAGTTAATCCTGTAAAAAACAAATTGCCAAGTGATATCAGCATGATTGCATCCACTGGAATTTTATAATAGTATGTTAATGTAGGAAATTTGTCATCATATATGTAACTCTGAAAAGCATTTGCTTCGTTATAAAGGAGAAGTTACTACTATCAGGCAGTCCACACAACAAACAGAAGGAAAATGTTTAAAAACCATGTAAAATTAATGGCAAGTACCTGAGTGGAGTAAGTGACGGAACTTGAAATGGTATATTTACCTTTGCCATCATGGCGGAATAGGCAATATATAAAGGATCATCTTCTAGTTTACTATAAAGAGTAAAAAAATTTATAATTATTTTATGATGTAATAATAAAAAGATGTCATACTCCTACTAATATTTAAATACCATTTAAATATAAAATAAATAAATATTTAAATCATAAGTAAATACCAAATTTAAGTATCTACTTGAAATGTTATTACACTTGAAAATTGCATTATAAATATATTTTATTACCTCAAACCATGTCTGTGTAACCTTTTAATTAAACAATTTAGAAGTATATTTGTATATCCAACTTAGTCATGTTGAATAACTGAGGATCACTGTCTGTTGCAGGTGCAGAAAATACCATATACTTACATACTATATATACTATATAGATACAAGATTAATTATAACTGTCAGATGGCAAGATTATGTTACTCATAGAGAAAAAGCATATGAAGCACTGAAGTACTCTGCTCATGCAAAATACATATGCTAATCAGCAGTCTAAATTCAAACCAGAAACTGGCACTGAAAGAGATTCATACTAATCATCAGTGAAAACTTTTCTGACATACTGAATAAAATGTAATGAATAGCAACAAGAAGAACACACATTTATTATCAGCAGAGACCAGGAGAGGGTACTCCGCATGAACCAGCAGTTCCTATAGACTTCATGTTTCTATGAGAATTCATGCTTGGTTTTTATTCATATTGGGTATTTACCAAGCTTTTAAAACATCAACAATAGTCAGTATTTGTCTCAATACAAAAGTTATACCAAGTTTAAATATATAAAAGCTCTAATGAAACTGAGAGTCAAAAATATTCACCACACACAATAATGAACTACAGTTGTGTTAAATAACTTCTCTAATGTTATTAGAAATTCAGTTACTGGGTGGTTTTACTCAATGTGCTTTTCAACACAGCTTTTTTTACCTTCTCTCTGTGAGAGCACTGCGACTAAAATAGAGTATAATCTGATGAAGTGGATCAGGATGTTTTTTCTCGGTCTCTTCTTCTTCCTCTTCTTCTTTTTTTGGAAGTGTCTGTCTCAAGATTTACATTAGAATATAGAAATTAGACTTCATGAGTAAGAAAAAAAACAATTGAGTAATTAAGTTTAGGAAAGGATTTCAGTGATTTTATTCTGTCTGATTTGTATTAACTTCCAGTATTTGTCTTATTCAGTAGCTTACAGCGTAACTGCAACATTATGTGCCTTTATGACTCAGAGTTAGAGGATCTGATTGTTACTAATATTTGATAGTAACATTAGAAGTTTCCCATTTGCAAGGTTTCGAGAATGAGTCAGTGAAAATCCCAGGGAAGCCTTATTCAGCAGAAATTATGTGTTTCCAGTGGATCAGAATTGAAAGAGAGTCCTAGCTCAAATATTTAGGAGTATTATTGGTAAATGGAAATACGTTTAATGATATAATCAGATGCATTCCATTCTGACTACAGTTTGCTACTATACTTTCATATATAATTTCTACTGCTCTTACTTGTCAACTTCAAACGGTTTTTGGCAGTCTGAAATATAACACAGCCATCACTAGCAAAACAGCAGTGTATGACCTTTACATTACCTGTGTTATCACCCCTTTGTAGGGTTTGTAATTATTGTAGAACTATTGTAATTTGAGTAATAATTGTAATTGCAGAAGTTCAATTTACTTCTCTAGTAAATCTGAATTTTGTTGCAAAGAAGCAACAAAATCAAACAAAGACTGTGACCATATGTCCAGAGTATAAGATGATGATGTTGGCTGTAATTTTGAAAAGTCATACAACCTTCTATACCTGTGGGTCTTTTTAAAGCACATGACTGCTTTTGCTAACACTGAAGCATCGCCTGATACACCTTCATGTGATCCATGAAGCTATATATATTCATTTTCATGGTGTTTAGTTACTATGAGGCTAGGGCCCTTGGAAGTATTTTAACAAACTAACTACAAAGAGGGGAGAGAAAAAGCAGTAGGCTTTCTGAATCAATACTCAGTGACAAAATGCTGAAGCTTACCGATCAGTTTTATCAATTACCCATGTAAACTAATTTTTTTGCTGAATATGGCTGCATATATTTACTCCTCTTTATGATGTATCAACGAGAAAACAGCAAAATTAATTTGGATCAAAGCTGAAAATGTTAAAATTAATTATGCATCAACATAAATTTTAAAAAGGGGAAAAGGATCTATTGTGCCAAGCTTTAGAAAAACAGTAAATAAAATATAGGAACATAGGAATTACCATGAAGACAAAAATAGTCCGACATTTCATCTAATCCATTTATCTCCATTTATCAAGAATGAGTATCGCATTGTTCATCTGAAGGCGTATACCACCTTAATGCACTTCAGTGTGCACCACAGGACAAATGTCTTTTTGACCAGAGCAGAAAATGACCTTATGCCCTGAAGCATAAGGCTTAATATTTTATAAGGTTATGCATATGCATACAATACACAAAAATTAAATATAGGTTATAATAGATGCAGAGAATATACACTAAATGGGCACTGAAAAATATGTCCTATTATGTCAGTACTTACAGCCAAATCCTGAACTAGTTTCTCCTCAAATGAATATTCCTCTGTTTCTATCCAATAGTTCTGATAGCCATGGAGGAAGAGGTTAATAGAACGGTGCCTGGGGGGGTTGTGAAAGTGAGATCAAGAGGGGTAAAGGAACATAGTATACAGCTCAGGTGGTTAATGATTAGTAAGGATACGCATTTGTACAATTCTGATCCTCTGATTGGTCAGTGAAACAAAATGCAAAACATATCTAACATCCAGTGACAAATCTGCATGTAGTTTGAGATGGTCTTACTGTGTTTTTATACACATTTATACATTACTTTTTTCTTTTGAAGACTTTGGGAATGCTAATATAGATTATACATGAAACTGCAGGACTGAGACTGTAACGCAAGCATGAGAAAAATAAACACTTGAACAGACTGGTGGGTGTTTGTACAACAAGTGGATGGCATTAACACCTATGAGATGTAAATCTAGTTTACTAGAATTAGGACATTGAGACAGCAGAAGTTGGCCATCAACACCAAACTATTTATCAAGTGCTTTCCAGCATGTTATCTACACACAATCGTTGCCTTCTTCCACAGAGAGGAGCCTAACCTCAGCTTCTTTTCTTTCAGTTCCAAATCAGGACAGTATTAATGTGTCCTCAAAGAAGCTGGATTAGGAATACACAGAATCTGCTCTAGAAAATGACCAATTCTAGAAAACTCCTAAGCATATTAATTACTACTATACAGTACTAATTAATTTAACCTTTCACTTAAAATATAGCTCATAGAAAGACTACACATAATAATTATGGCCAAAAGATTCTACCTTTACATTACATTCTGAGGAAAATTTCATTTTGAGGTGGACTATATGAGGCTACAAAGGTTGTTCTACACAGCCTTTTAATTTACTTTTATCCTGCACCACTAACAAAAACTGTACAAATTGCCTGTATATACTATAAGTCGTTTACATACACTGTGCACATGAACTATTATTTTTAGAATGGATAAGCTATTGAGCCAACCTTCTAGGCTCTCCTGCTGGCACTAGTGCCATTTTATTATCAAATTTCAAAAACTGACCAATCAGAATCCCCTCTGAAAATTGTACAAATTCATGTTTTATGATAACATTAAATCATGGCTGGGAAGGAATAAGTGTGCGCATAAGGAAGAGGCTCTCCACAAGTTACATTACCGTTAACTTGAGTATAAGCCTGTCATACTGAGTTTTTTCATGTACTTTTTCCAGCCAAACACGTTGAAAGGTGCTCAGGAAGAAATTGCTAATTTTGTGTCTGAAGAAAAGCATATAGGTTTTCATTGAAGAAAGGCACAAGTTATATTCAATAAAATAGTCAGAAAGAATGTATTCATAAACTGTGTATGAAAAATTGCCATGTACAACTTTGCTGCATCTATGTGCATATACAGATGACAGACAATAAGACAGTTCTTTTACAAATTAATTTCCTTAAAACATCAAACATAAATACACACATCTCAGAGAAAACACTTACCACATAGAACAGTTTTTGAGGCCATGTACATTCATTAAACACTGAACATGAAGAATTAGTATTTCCTAACTTAACTGATGCTATTTTCCTTGAAAATTAAAAATACTTTAAAATACAACTCTTACTTTTGTAACTCTCAGAAAAGGGAGTACTTGGAATATTTATGGTAGAAGTGAAAGTAATCTCTCTGTGATTTAACAAATATCTGCATATCAATAGACATTTCAATTTTTGAAATATCTTACTGGGATTCCTAAAAACTGATACATATAACAATGTATTTTGAAGAAAATTAGAATAAAATATGAGATTAACATTAAATTATATTGAAAGCCACCTAGACGTCCCAACAATTTACCAAAGAGAGAGCTCATTATTTACTGAAGTTATGAAACTTTTTTAGGACAAATGAAAGGGTACCACCATAATTTTTGCTTACTGTCCCTTAAATTAATTGATTCTAACATCAAATTTAGAACTTACACTCCCAATATAAAGCTGCAGCTAAAATGAACAAATAAACAAGATAAGGAGGGCTGCATTTGAAACTCTGGTTCAAAGGGATTTACATAGCTCCTAGAATTAATCATACTCCACTAGAAACAATCTCCCTAGGGTTCAGAAATGTCTTAACAACACAATCAATTTAAATAATGGAGATAGTTATAGGTACATAATAGTGTGATAGCCTAATATTCCTGTCAGAATCCTATGATTTATCTAGGAAAAAATGTGTCTATAAAGTAATGAATTTTAAAACTTTGTTCTGCACCCATCAACATACCTAAAAGTCCCTGCTCAGTGTACAGGGATTGGAATTTTAAAGGTCCCTTCCAACTCAAACTAATCTATGATTTTATGATTCTAAGTTACTCTTTCCTGTTTTGAAGTGCAGACACCAAATTAATTGGCTAAAACAGTTTTGTGACTATTCACTTTTATAATCTACAAGATGAAAAAACTGGATGGATTTGCTTCACATTCAATTTTAAATTAGGAGTGAACTCCACCACAAAATCTACCATAAAGTTTAAGAAGAACCAACCTCAATCTTTTTAACACAGAAAAGTTTTGAATGAAAATTACAGATAATGTAAGTGTTCTACTTGAATAAGTATTACTCCATATTTTCTTGAAAATGAATATACAGGTTCATAAGCCATTTTGCCTCTTGGCAAGTGCTCCATCAACCTCAAAAATAATAGATGTGGGTTTTTATTAAATAAGTTGAACCATTTTTATTATTTTGGTGCTCATATACATTACAAACATTTAAAAATTTATAAACCCTGGATATGGTTATTAAAAAAATGTTCACAAAAATGTTATAGTGAAATGTGTGCTCTTCATACCACTTCCTCTAAAACACAGTTCTTGAAGATGAAATGGTTGATAGTAGCTGGGTTGTTCTTATGTTGTACTTACACATTTTCATTTCTCTGGTTCTTCAAAGATTGCCTGATGGCAGTATGACAACTTAGAGAAGTTGTTATAGTCTAGAACTACTACTTTCTGTAAAGGAAGGATCTGTGCTTTTTACAGTATAACTGGCTTTTTATTAATCTTGTGCAAACCTAATCTTCCAGTATGTTAGTGGCACAGATCTTTAGCCAACATCAAGCAGGTAGATTTGCTTTAATAAAGGCACTTAAAAATGCAGTGCAACTCTTCTGTTAAATACTTTGCAAACAATCTTTGAAAATATTAAACATGAAAGGTGAAAAAGTGCAGAAGATGATGAGAAACAAACTTATTCAAAGTTCTGCTTAGGCTGTATCTGAATAAAAACCAGATTTGTTGCATAGGAACAGGGTAAAGAAAATGACTCCAATGCTGTTTGGTCTTAATATTCTGTTCAAAGCAGTAGATTGATCCAGGCACAGAATGCACTTGATCTTGGACTCTGTGGTATCTACAATCAACTGGAGTTAGAAGCAGAGCAACACACAAGTCCAAAATACAATTCTGCACTGCTCTGCCCCAATAGCTGCTTTAATGCATATAACATTCTGATGTAGTAGCTAAAGATTGCCTCAGACAAGCTAAAGACCATAAAGCATTCATGCAATAGGAGAGGAATAGCCATACAAGTTATAAAAAAGAGAAAACAATATGAACACAGGAGAATAAAGAGTAAAAAGAGAAACCAGAGGTAAAAAAGGGACAGAAACAGCAACATCTTAAAAATTTTTACAGGTAACTAGAGGACCTATATAGCTGACAAAGAGAAGCATTTTGATTTTGAAGCAGTGTAATTCCTATGGTCGTTTCCCCCTCTGGTTATTTGTCATGAGAGAAGTATTTTGCTACCATGAGGAATTAGCTGCTAACTAACCAACCCTTTCGTCTCAAACAAAATTACATAGGCCTGTCAATGAGCAATCTTACAGGTATAAACAAAAGCAATATTTACTTGCAGAAATTTAAACTTATGTTATGAAAAAATAAACCTTTTAAGTAATTTACCTTGGCAGATTGTATAATGGGGCCATTCTGAAACATGCAACAACAGCCCTTTTACGTTGTTTTGACAGGAGCTTGTGCCAAACAGCTTTCTTCGACCTCAGTGGTTGTTCAACCTACGGGAAAATATCTTCTAGCATACACAATGGAAAGCCTTCACCTTTTATTAAAACTTTTGTCTTTAGCTCATAGTTAATGTAGTTAGCAAATTAGAAAATGTTACAAATGCTCCCATCATCTGAAAAAAAAAGCTCTTTTTTTTCTTTTTCTTTAATAATAATAACAAAATACTGGGGTCCTTATATATAGAACCTCTGAATTTATACTCAAGATGCCATAATATCTCATGTGTGGGACTCCTTGGTAAAAATCCAAAATGGTTATTTTTTCTGTTTCTGACTATGCATATTCAATTACTCATGTGAACAAATTTCTGTGTGATATCACTTGTGAATGAAATGGATTATCTTTATGTGGGAAGAGTAAAAATGCCTTTTTGTAATTCAAAATTTGCTGTAACATCCTCAGGTGCAGAAATAGGAGTCAGGCTAAAAGTAGTATATTAAAAATAAGTGCACATGCAAACATTTCTTCCTAAAATTACAGTTTTCAGCTACTGAATAGTGATGATTTGTATACTATACTTCTTGCGACTGTTCACGAAGTTTTTCAGAGGCAAATACATCCCCAGTTTTCCCTGAAGCTAAATCAAGGAACTTCAACAGATTACACTAAAAACTTAGCATATATACACATCCATATGTGTGTCTGTGCACATGCACACATGTGCAAACACAATTTTTATCTAGAAACTTTAATAATGAGACTCACTGAAATGGAAATAATTTCTGCAAGAAAAAAACTTATGCAACTTCAAAACACAGTACAGACATTTAACTTTACCTGTTCCAGATGATACAGAGCAGCTGATATCCTCTGCACACGTTCCACATTTCTCTCAGGGTCATTAGGTTCACCGCTTTTCAAAATGTCCTTGTACAGATTTAACTGCCATTTCACAGCTGGATCATCAGACTAAAAACCAACACACTTTGTACATAAGCTGCTGAATGAAGATACTGATTTTGATAACCACAACTATTATTCTCATAGTATAATAAAGAATGTTATAGATACTTGCACTTCATCTGTCCCCTTTTAGTCAAAATTAATATCTGCTAGCTGCTCAGAAAAATGGCATTAGATTCTCTATACTGCTGGGTAACTACTCAATTTTTAAGCATGTTTCTGTATTTTTATTTCATGCAACCAAATAAAGCACCCTGAGACTTCTGTATCCCATTTAACTGCATTAAAAATAAGGAAGCACATTTAGTACTGAGATTGAGTTTAATTCCTCACTGGATTTCTGTACCAACAGCTGCTTTATGGAGTCTATAAAAGACAACTGGAATTTCAGTAAGGGAAGGGTTACAGCCAAAGGTGGGTTTTTTTGGTGGGTATTTTTTTTTTCCAAGACAGAAATAGAAAAAACACATTAGAATTACTTAGTGTGTCCAATTTAAATTTATGTAAACACAGATTTATAACAACCAGACAGTCATCTCCTGTGACAGATAAATGAGTTACTCCTAGTACATTCTAAGACTGTAGGCAATGATCTAAATTATTTATTATTGACAGAATGGTGAGGATCCCATTTTGGTATCACCTTGACAGTGTATTCAGCATATAAATAGCAGCAACATAAATGTGCTTGTAAAACTCTTAAGTGTTAAGATGACACAAGCTTTTCTTATTTTATCATAGTCACTTCAAAATGCATATATTCTTAGAAATACTGTTTAATCATTACTGCAGTTAAGATCAAGAAGAGAAGCTGAAATACTATAGTCTTAATTTTATTTTCTTCTTGGATCGAGTTGATTATAAATAATTATAGCTTTAAAACTACCAACATCTCAATTCTTTACACTTGTCCCATTCTACAGGACTTCCTGAAGCTTGAAAATAGCAGCCAAAGTTACAAATAAACTAATTCTTGCAATGAAAAAATAACAAAGAAAAATGTTAAAATAGCATTTTTTCTAATAGCTTTTTACATTCTCTTTCTAAAAAAATTATTTTTACATATCACAATAAACAAACGAATTGTGACTTCTATGTTTTAAAAGTGCATATCAGCATCTTTAAACAGATTTTTTTATATTACCTTTTCCTGCAAATGTAAGTTGTTACGTAAATGTTCTTTGACTTCCTCATCAGTGTCCCTCTGTAGAAAGGTAGAAGTATTTTGGAATTCAGATTATGATACATCTCATAAGAACATGTACAGCTTAGCACAGCTATTATTTTAATATTGAAAACTAACCTTTTGTTTTCTAAGTACAGAAGTTAGCAGAAGGGCATGCAACAAAAGGCTTTGTTCAATTTTGACCACAAAACAAACATTAAACTTTGGAGAGACTTAAAGCTAGCTAATGGTATTTCAGTATTTGTCCAAACAAATATGCATATGTAAAAAAGTACATTATATACAAATGGAAAATAACATGGAAATGATGCCAGATGTCTATACACACCACTTCTTCTTGTGAAAGAAGAATTAACAGCTATAATTTCTTACACCACATTGATATATTTAGTTATATTAACTACTTAGATATCTATGCATCAAAGTCCAGTCTATAAAGTTCTGCTTATTTTGCACTAAAAACTACTACAAAGTATGCACTTACATGGCTGTATCTCATCTTAGCCAAAGAGATGAGCTCTTGATCTCCAGGAGTACACATATTCAGACCAATAGGAAGCATCTTTTTAAGTGCAGCTACAATCAGAGATGTTTGTATGGAGTATAAATCCCCTCTACGTTTTGATTTCTTTCTCTCTTGATCTTGTCCTCCAGACTATAATTAAAAAAATAGAAAAGTAAATGAGTGTAATTCTCTCATCAAACACTTTTCCAACATGCTCTTACCCTAATGGTCCAAGGAAACCATGTTCCTGGGGTAGTGCAATTCACTGAAAATGCTACAGTAGTGGAAGGGTGTACCGTCTTGAGTGGGTAAAGTAAAGGAATACTTTTGGTGTGCGCTAAACCAGAAATTGTAATAACAGTAACATTTTAATAGCAGCAACATACTTTTGTGTGCATTCATACATATGCATACATATGACTATATTTTCTGGATCTTACCTCTCAAATCAGAAACAACCCTAAAATTAAAAGCTGGGTCAGACTCAGGGGACACTATTAGTTCTCAGTGTTACAGAGACAAATTCAGGATGTTTACATCTTTGTGAGAAACTTACACAAAGCTAGTTATCCAGAGTCTGAATGAATTAATAGTCTGATTTGTCTCACCTGAAAAATACCACTATCTAAAAGGCTTTAATTTAATGCAATAAAATGCCAATAAATTAGTGTCTCCGGAAAAAGCCCTGCCCTTTAGCTTTGGCTTATATAAGTAACTCTAGGATGGAAAACTAAGTCTTTTGCATCTTTGGAGATCATGAGTAACAGGAAAAGGAAAACAATAGAGACAGAAAAGTAAACAGCAAAACGGAATAAAATTTGTCCTATCTTCTTACAACAGACACTGTACAACAATATTTCACACACAATTTTCCATTTATGAACCAAAATCTTTAAACACAACCATATATTTAATGAACATATAGTAAACAACAACAACAACATAAAAATAGCCCAGTTCTGAATTCTGTACCTAGATTAAACTCCTACTACATTCAAGGGGAGTTTTGCTAAGATAAGATTTCAGGACTAGGCCTCCAGGCTTATACAACACTACAAAATAGCAAATGTTTGCATTTAACCCTCCACATCCTTTTCCCTCTGTCAATTTAGTTTTACTGACTACTGTTTTTTATAATACACTGTGTAGTTCAACATAATGATACAGCAGAATCCATTGCAATTCATTTTATACCAATTATTACCACACTATTATCATAGTCATCACTGGAAGTAAAAAAAGACAGATATATATATTCCACTCGGTGGTAAATTTTGGCAAATTCTGTCTTCTAGATGGTGAATCTGTGTGTATGTAGCTGGTGTTGAGCATTTTGCAGGTCAGAGGGAACACACAACGGATGTGGCTTCCTTTCCTAAGGAACTAACAATTGCAAGAGAGTACTTTGCCTCAAAGCTTTGCTTTTGGAAGTGCCTTAGAAATAGCAGTGATGTAATGGCTATAATAGTGATATTATTTGTACTTTACATTGACAGCAGACAAACAAATCCCACAATGTATCACTATATTCCAGTGGCGTCACTACGCATCTTAAATAAAGAATAACAAAATATATAACAGATATATTAAAAAAAAAAAAGAGAGCTACTGGTTTACTGTTTTACTGTTCTGCATCTTTATGCTTGAGGACATCTTAAACATCCAATTTCCTTTACTTTAATTTGAGATTAATAACTACATATGAACAAGATGGGTGAACCTTAAGACCTGAACATTTTTAAAACATGAGAAGAAGATCCATTCTGCCTTTGCCATCATACTCTGCTGTCTGTGAATTCACAACTCCTGCTGATAGATGTCTAAGTAGAGTCGCATACAGAAACAAGTGACAATAAAATTGTTTTTTTCAGCTCTAATATGCACCTATATAAATAAACAAAAAATCGTCATTTCACATGTAAAGAACATTACATTGGATATATTTTACCTAAATAATTAAGTGTCCTAAAAGGACCTCAACAAGAAGAATGATATAATCTGGTTGCTTGACATCACATAAGGAACTTACTCATCTGAGGATTTAAACATATAAATGGACATTTCTTCAATAAATATTTACAGAAAAAGAATTACAGATTCTCCAGTAGATTGAAATAGTTAAATATAAAGTCAAAAAGAAGAAAGAATTAAAAAAAAATAGTTAAGATGGAATTCATATTACCAACCATCCTTAAACCTTCAATTCTCCAAGTTTATCATGACAGCATTCATTAAATCCTACTCTATATACCTGGGGAAGTTTGACAATAGCAAAGCGTGAAATCAGGTCTATCAGTTTAATAAAATGCTCACTTTTAAACTTTTTTCTCCAATTTAATTGATTAGAAACTCTTCACAGCATCACGTGTGCTTCTCAGCACACAGGGTGAAGGGAAAGATGTAAGGGGTTTATGCTCCATTTTGCTGTTCCTTCTGTTCCACCAATGGAGAACACACCATAGGTCAAAAATTACTCATCTCTGTTAGAAATCCATACTAAAAAAGATATCTGCATGATGCAAAGGAAGGTGAACAATGGTTCACTGGAGACAAAGAAAGCTTTGAATACATTAAATACATAAAAGAAACAAGGATTATTACAAAGCTTTGTCGCACAACACATTTTCAGTAAAGATCATTTTAATTTTGGAAGAGAAAGAATTTGAACTCTATCTTATTTAAACTTATTGGTTCTAATACAATCTTCTATTTATCTACAGACAAGGTATAGATTATAGCACTTTTCTCCCATGTATTTTTCTAGAATATCGTAAGCCAAATAGATGTTTCTGATGACTCTACTTAGACATTGATTTTACAATTTCAGCTCAATGTATTAGCAAAAAATTCAGAATGAAGAAAGACAGCAGAGACAGAATGTACATCTAAAATAATTACAAAAGGTAACTCTACTACATTTTCACATTAAGTAACAGGTGGGAGTACCAAAGGGAATTTCAGCTGCCACTCTAACTCAGAGAAAATTTATAGTGAGTGGAACCTCAGCCTTCACTTTGTGACGCCACTGCTATGAACAATGGAAAGAATGCTTGGAGCCTGATCATCACTAAATCTAAAACAAAGACACATCATGCACTTTGACCTGTACCTTTACTTGCATGGCCTGTATGAAGGAAAAATAAAGGGAGAAAAACCATAAGTAAAAGAGATGAAAATACGATAATTTTATAATTTAATAATAAACTTACTCAGCTTTATCAGGACAATAAAAATATTGTACGTTTGTAGGTAAACCAGTACACTGTAAGTGTATAAACGAACGAGTCCTTAATGAAATAATTTTTATTCAGCTTAATCCTTATTAAATGATTGAACTTCTGAATTTATCTGTCATTATTCAACACTACCATTTGTTGCTTCAGCACATAAAGTAGTACATCTACTAAGTAAGTACATCAGTAAAATAATTATTGTATTTTTCCCCAATATTGTTATAAAGAGGAAGATGCCTGGAACTGTGGATAGTCCAATAATGAAGAATACTCGCATTTTCACCAAAAGAGCTCTTTCTACCTCTTTTCCCCACCAAAATATGATTGCGAAAACTTATGTTTAGAAACAAAAATCAAACTATCATTGTGAAGATGCAGCATTTTGTTTCTAGATGTATTTTCCCACTGCGTAGCTCATTAATATTTTGAAGACAGCCTGAGAGGACACTTGGCTTAAGCTCGTATCTCTTGCCAGTACCCATTTTGAGAACACTATTATAAACCCAACTGTAACTCTCATACATACATAGAGGGTTTTTTCACTGTTTATTGTGTTAATACCATAAATATACTTAAATAAACCTGTGTTCCATAGTCAACACTGTATTAGCATTGTGTCAGGCAATCTTAAGAAGATAGCAACAAACCCATGTAATTATGGTAAAATGGCAAAGAAATTCAACTGTTACTCAAAAGAATCCTTGACCAGGCATGGGAAAATACTATAGAAAACTTTTGGTTAAAAACAAACAAAAAAACCCCCCCAAAAACCCCAAAACAACAAACCACAAATCTTCCCCCTGCCTTTCTGTGATAGCTGAAGTAGTAACTTTGTTTTCTTGTGATACTTAAATTAGTCCCAAATGTTGAAGTCAGTATATTATTAAAATCTCTTTTTATAGCCTACTATATTTTTATCACATCGTGAAGAAAATAATCTACAAGTCAAAAAAGACTAAAAGACTAATAATGAAATTAAGCATCTTAGAATCTGCAATACCTTATGCAGACAAATAACAAATTTTAATTGAACATTTCAATGTAGATGCTGTACAGACATGGCCCAGCATATATATGCTGAAGGGAAAGACATGAATTATATTTCATTTATTAGAGATGACCATAAAGTAATCCACTTATGATTTACCCAAGTATATCTAAGGGAAATGTATTCTATGCAACTGAATTAGTCTCAAAGAGGAGATCTAAAATTCTTGTAGAAAATGCTAACATGAAATCCTCTAATTATGGTGTATTTGCAAATAAGATGTATTATATATTACAAATGGGCACAAACCACAATGTTGTTTTGTAATATGAACTTGGATTTTATGGCTGCCTCAAACTTCTGTAATAGGTCGATCAAAATGCTTTTAAAAATAGATACAAAAAAATTAATAATGAGGGCCAGTCAAATAAAACTTCAGTGGGATATGCAAGTGTTTAGCAACTGAGATTATATATCCATCCACGCATTCAGATTCCAGCATTTACACAGAAAAATTGCCCACATATGTATTACACATTTATTATGTAGACGTGAATGTATATATTTAGTCTTTTATACCAATTACCTGTAAAACACAATAGGACATCATTGTATCTTAATCAAAATGCTACTTTACCAACAAAACTATGAAGGGTTCAAAAATAACAGATTAGTGGAGTTGAATGTGTTTAATTTCTCCATTTCAACACTTGTTTCACTAATCTGTTATTGTAATGCAATCTAAGTTACCAGTCTCTCTCGGACTGAAAGTTCTCTAACTTACCATTCCCCTCCGAGCAATCTGCTGCCATTTTTTTAGAAAAGAAAAATTAAAAAACTTGCTCAGCTGTTAATACATTTATTCGAGAAAATACTAACAAAGTTAATATTATATAATCAAAATACAATGGGTACTTAATCAATTTATTTACTTTAATGGTCAATCATTTGTTACCTCTGCTACTAGCTACTGATAAATAATGTAATCTTAATCCTTTATCCTCTGCATATTTTTTTTCTGCATATGGCATGTAAAAATCTAGAACCTTTCATACATGATATATCACACCTTACACACTGGTACTACCACACTATCTTGTGTCTTAGGAAAAGTACTAAGTCTCTGTTGTAACATAGTCAATTGTCTAAAGCAGTCTGACGTCAGCATGGAGCCTTACTCCTTTGAGAGACCCCAGCGGTTCTGTCTTGGGCCAACTGTTCATAGCCAATGTTCATATTCATAGTTATCTGTACATTTTCATGCTTGATAAATACTGGATATGATTGCTTCCACTAAAAATGTGAATAAAGAGGAACTGGTGATAGAAAGGAAAGGGCTAATTATTCTGTTAGCATACTATTTCTTGAACTGAATGTTAATACTAAAGCAAGAAATTATAAAAACAATGTTCTCTAATGTCATGTCTGCTATAGATTATTCTCTGAGGATATAGATACCAAGTATTAAACCTTGTAAGAAACCCTGAAATTCAATTACTTAAAAGATTTTCTTGTTCATTCTGAACTATGCATTCTTAAAAAGTTATTCAGATGAAAATGTATGCTATGGTTTTAGAGCACTTACATTATACATTATGAAATATTCTGAATTTCCTGCTTTGAAGTCATATATACAAAACCAATACAGTGCTATAATTTGATATTAATATGGTTAAAATATTATATGCATATAAAGAAGTTTAGAATCTCCCTGTACTGTATACTCATATGTAGAAAAGTGCTTTACATATGCATCTACATCTCTGTTATGAATAAATATAGTTATACAAGGATTTATACATAATATATTTGTACACTGAAGTATACACAACAGGCATTTGAAAATGTAATCTCATACCCAAACCTTTTCAAATATGGGTCAAATAGATTCTTGATGTTAAATTCCTATTATTTTACCCAAATTGGAACAGTATACCTATTCTTTATTTTGTAAAGATTTGCTTTGTCATTCCTTCCATGCCAGACTACCTGAAATATGACACTAACAGTTTACATCATGTTATCATATTATCAATACTGCAGTGAGACACAATTTAGATGAAATATGAAACACCTGATTATAATTTAGCATGTTTAAAGAAAAAAAAAGCAGAATTAATTCTTGGTTTCTCAGGTGAATTCTAATTTATAAATGTTGAAGTATATGTATTAAATGTATGCATAGTGATTACCATACAATAAAAGTATAGAGCTATGAGTTAGATTCTGTTACTGTGCACCTGATCGTCAAAAAGCTTGGACTGTGCCCACTTCTTGTCTTGCTAATGACAATAACACAAACATTTCAATACTATCACGTAATTTCAAGGAGCTGCATCTTGAAAACAAGAAAACATGTTGTAAATTTCCTTTCCTCCAAATATGAAGGAAATTTTTTATATGGTTTGACTTGCTGTTCAGTGCCAGTCATGACCTAAGGATGAACAGAATATCTGTTATTTTTGCTTGCAAACTTTCCAATACCAGGGTCTGGCTTAACTAAGTTTCAGAACTTAAAAATCACGTAATAGAAAAGCAGCAAACTTTTTAAAGATAATTAAGAAAGTTAATGGCACATTTTGTCTGACTTGGACTTAGAGTAGCTAGGTTACAGACATTTAAAATACAGTGATAAACAAAACAGTAAACCCCACCACTTCCCTAGAACAATTCCAAAATAGGGTTATTCCAAACACATTACAAAAATGAATAAAACAAAGGGTTCTTTGCTACATTTACTAACACTGATTTGGAATTTGACTTCAAATAGCTATAGATGAGCAAGGCAGTCTTCCTCAGCTAATGTCAAAGCAGCATTTTTCACCCTGACAACATGCATTTTCTCTATTATACAGGTAACAAATATAATTTCAAGCCATCGTGTCAGCATCTTGTTGTATTGCAAATGAGCAAAAAAAAATTAATGTGGTCATTAATAAGAAACAAGAAAAACAGTTCCATATGTGGCACGCTGTATGTATGAATAAAGAGGTATATGCAAAGACAGCATTTCTCCATCAAAGTTGACAGAACAATACTGACTGACATTCACAAGAAAATGATCAGGCAACCAATATTTCTTCATTTGCTTTTATAAAATAGTCCACCTTTTTTTTCTTTTTCTGAAAGATCAACAACCCATATCATATATCACAACGCATATACTCTTATATGTGTTACTTTCAGATCAAGACCTTTATTTTAATCTTGTGCCTTTGACTACTTAGCAGACATTTAATAAGTAACTCTAAGGTATGTAGCCTATATGTTGCATAGTAGTTGTCGTGTCTATCATCAAGAACCAAAACTATTTTTTGTTTCTTCTACCAGCACAGCAGCTGCAATCTAAATAGATTTTCATAGCGTTCTTACAACATATTAAACACATACTGAAGATTTAACTGATCCACAAATTTTTATTAACTTACTTTAGACATCTTGCTCTTTGTGTCTCCTGTTAAAAATGCCAAATTATTGATTTCATTCTGAATAACAAAATTTTGTTCTTCTCTTTTGAAATTCTGAAGATGGGGGGAAAAAATGTAATCAGAAGTTTAATTCATCCACATGTACCACATTTATTTTTAAAGATAGAATGAAATGGAAGAAAAAGTATACATCTTATCTTACATGTGATTTACACCACAGGATAAAAACTTCAGCTACCATTCGAAAGAGTTCATCAGAATCTGCATCTGGTTTCTTTAGCCAGTTGGCTCTAGTTACAAAAAAAAGGGGAAATTTAAGATTTGAAATAAGACAACCAAATACAACAATGTTTAACAGATCAGGTTACATTTGTGTAGTTAATCTTGGAGTTTAATAAGAATCACTTCAAATTTCCATGACCATAGTTAGAGAGAGACCATTTTCCATGGTAGTTTAACTTGTCTCCAACAAAGCTCTTAATCTTTGGCTACTTATTTCTGCCTGCTCTTCCTCCATATGGTCCCAAGACATGGTTTTGTGCCTATTCTGTGAACCACACTAGAAATCAAATATGGCTGAAAAGCAAAACTCTCCAAGTATTTATCTATTTCTTTTTTTTTCCTATATTAAAACCTCATTATCAAAACTTCGTGCTGATCCAAAAGAAAGCACTATAATGGAAGAGGACAGGGAACAGAATGAGTGAGCAGAGCTATGAGGACTAACTGCTTTAGTTGGTTTATTTTTATAATCCAGGAACTAATGCAACTTCAGTCTGGCTCTGTCTGGACAAGGATGCTCAGAAAACTTGGGCAAATGAACTAACAGATGCAGCCCTCTTAAATGTCTCTAAATTAAAATGTATTAATATGACCATACATAAATTGGGCATCTGACAGCAGACATGCAAGAAATTATTATAACTTATGCTTATTAACTCTATCTTTCAAGTTGCATTTATCCACAGCCCAATTATATCTGTGCTTTCTAAAAATTGGAAGTGTTTCCTTGACAACAAGGGCTGACATAGTAAAGACTTGAGTTAATTTAGAAAAAACAAATAACTCTCAGTGTACATTGGTTCACAGCATAAATGATTGTGCATGCAGTGCAAATACTCCTAACTAGACCAATACTTACTAACACCTAAATAAAATTAAAGTGGGCAATGAATGAATAAAGAAGAATAATGTTGTTAAGGATAGGATTAAGATACTGTAAAAACTGAGATACTATAGATAATTTAGATACTCTTCTGAAGAACATCATGGGATCATGTTCTGAGACAAAGGAAGGGGAAAGTGTAGGCACAGAATAATCCTTCAGTAAATGGCTGAGATGATTACTTCTGGTAATTCCAATGGCAGTACAATGTTATCCAAACAGTTTTTATTTCCAGATTAAAAAAAAAAAAAAACAAAAAACAAACAAAAAACCCCAAAAAAACCCCAAAAAACCACACAACAAACCCACAAACAAACAAAACAAAACCAACAAAAAAAAAAAAACCCACAAAAGTTTAACATATTTGTGGTATTACCTACAAATAGAGTGATTCAATTGAGGCAAAACAAGTTTTCAACCCTTCATTAACAGGTAAGGGTTTTAGCCAGTTTTTAAGTTTTGAAATGCATATTCATTTGTAATATCATTGGACTGCGGTATCATATATAACAAGTCTGTTCAGGATATGCGTTCTCAACGATAATAGTACAATTACAGGACAACCAAATAAGGCAAATACATGTGAGAAAAAGTTGTTAATTTAAGGTACATCATTCTATAAATTAAGAATCTTAAAATACTCAGGATATGATTTTCAGCATAACATTAAATGCATTGTGTTCCAATTATCTTACGATGAAATCCAGCATATTAAGTAAAAAAATATTAGGTTAATTATTACTTTTTATTTACCTGTTGTTGTCTACATAACGTATCAACATTGGATAGAAGGCGTAAAGGTCTCGACAAAGAACAGCAAACTCATCAAGAATGAGTAGCTCAGCTTCTTGAGTGTCAGTTTTACTATCTGCTCTCAGTTGCTCCTCTTCCATCACTATCTTTATAGCTTTCTTCTTCAATTTCTCCAGTGTTGGAATAAAGTGAGTTTTGAGCAGATCAGGTCTAGCTTTGCTGATGATGGGTTGAGCATAAACTATACATAAAAACATAGATAATCCTATGATTAATGCACAATTTGTGGTTTTCATTATATTAATATGAACTCTGCAGTGTTAGAAAACATAAAGGTCATAGTGCTTCACACATTTCTGGAGCATCACAGAATCAGTAACAAAACTATGAAAACAGCTTTGTAACAACTGAATGTATTGCGAGATTAAAAGATAGTTACTGAGAATTCAGATATAATTATTTCAATTTTATATCAATTAAACTAACGTGGTTTTGGCAGGCATATGTCTGTAACTTAGAGCCTAAACAAAGTATGGATTGAGACACAAAGTCCTCACAAAAACACAGTTTTAGGGTTTTTTGTGGTTTTTTGGTTTGCTGTGGTCTGTGGTTTTTGGTTGTGTTTGTTTTTTTGTTTTGTTTGTTTTTTTAATACAATGTCAGAAAACAGTCAGAAGACAGTGTTCTGAAAGAATTCCTTTACCTCTTTTGTCTTGGGCAAGCTAAATGCAGGGAATGAATGGGTAATTCAACATCATAAATCTATTTTGTACAAGCATTAGTAATAAAATGCAGAACACCTGAGTCAAAAATCCTTGCAAGAACCACATTAGCTCCTTACATAGATAAGCAGCCACTACAAAAATGCAAGCAGTGGTCTCTTCAACTAAGCAGAAAATTTCTTAATAAATTTTAATGGAATTCTTCTTATTATTAAAGACCTTCCAGGATTTAAAATAATACTAAAAACCCAGTACCAATAAGGCATTAAAATTTAGCAGGAAACTATTACCTTTACATAGATTTTCTTGAAGAACCTTATTGCATATTATAGAATCATAGGATAGTTTAGGTTAGGAGGGACCTTAAAGACCACCTAGTTCCAACCACCCTTCCACTAGACAAGGTTGCTCACAGCCTCATCCAGCCTGGCCTTGAAAAATTCCAGGGATGGGGCATCCACAGCTTCTCTGGGCAACCTGTTCCAGTGCCTCACCACCCTCTCCGTGAAGAATTTCTTCCTGATATCTAATCTAAACCTCCCCGCTTTCAATTTGTACCTGTTACCCCTTGTCCTGTCACTACAGGCCCTTGTAAAAAGTGTCCCCCCCCCCTTTCTTGTAGGCTCCAGTACTCTATACAATAGTACAGTATACTCTTACACTGTTTAGGATGAATGATAAAAGATAGAGTAAATTTCTTTAGCTAGCTAGCTACTAAGTCTTACAGGGCATTTTGAGAAATCTTTCTGTTCTTGTAATAGGTAGGACAGTTACTCAGATAAAACAACTAATTCTGAACCCATGTTACTCCTGAGATTATTTCACCACATATACTTTCCCTTTTGTCCTGATATTTCTTGAACAGAACACACAGAACTTCTACCCTCTACTGCAATACTCATTTCTTAGATGTCTTGAAAATCAATGGAATTCACAACTCCATATTAAATGCTAAGGCTCTTATACAGCACACAGAGATGGTAAGATTTTAAAAATGCATTGTATAATGTACAAAGCTCTCTGCTTACGGTGATACGACAGTGCATGCATAAAAATAATAATAATAATATAATGTTTCTCTTATTGTTACTTATGTACTCTTTATCCTTCTTTCCTGCTGTTTTTAATTACAATTTATTGTTATTATATCACTGGGTAGTATGGTAATTAAATATTTGTTAGGTACAATTATTCTTTAAAAATATTTACCATACCTGCAATTCTTTTCATCCAAGATGCTTCATCTATTCCCAGATTATTGTTAATGATTTTCAGAATGTTTCCAAGAACAATGCTCAGATGCTCAGATGTTATCATTGTACAGCAAGGCCCAGCACTTTGAGGAACACTCTCAGACCCTCTTTCCCACCAGTAGGATAAATAGTTGCATAGCATGGGTAAGATAACCTCAATTACATGAGGCATTTCAGTATATCTTGCTCCAGATTCTGCTAAATCATTGATCTCTTTTATTAGTCCATCTAACTGTGGGATCTCTGGACACATCTCTTCTACTGTATCAGGCATACCTAAAACTGCAAGTGAGGGTAGAAAACCAAAAGATTAATTTAAATAAGAGATAATATCTATGTGCATCTGTTTTTGAACCCTAAATAGAAATAACATTGTCATTCATTGTTATTCTGTCACCATGTTGGGCAGACATAACTAAAGTAAAACTTTGCGGTATACATGGGACTCTCATCTCATAAATTATGTTTTTTCTGATGATAACGTGCATACAACACTGATGTAAACAATAACTTCCATAAAGCTATGGCTTAACCGTAAGGTGTCCTGCAATTATCTGGTGAGAATGCCAGCTATGTAAAAGTGCAGAGCTGAGTGCTTTTATCAATATTGGACAAACTCTGGCCATTGTTTCAATAATCATTCACAACTTTCATATCAATTTGCAAAAGATTAAATCCACCTCAGGAAAAAAGGAAAGAAACAGCTCAACATTATGGGTGAGATTAATATTAAACTGTACCTAGTTCATGAACTCTGCACATCTATGTCTCAACTAAAATGCCAAGAGAGAATTCCAGTTGTCAGATGCTTGTATTAGAAAATGAAGGATGCTTATTCAGCAATTAACATCCCATCATAATCTAATGCCAGTCACTCTAGCAAAATTATTCTTCCACCAGTGCTGCTTCTATAAAGTAGGGCTGGCAGGAAGGAAAGGCTAGCACAAGCTTTTTCATAACTGCTTTTATATGGAAAAACTTATGAAGCATATGATGCAATCAATCTACCTACATCTGTTTGTTTGTTTAAAGGAACAATGATTTTGGCAGGTAATGACTCTTACACGTATCAATGAGGAAAATAACGAAGTACTTTAAGATAAGAGAGTCCATCAAGAGTAAGTCAGCAGAGAAGCAAGTGAATAAAACCTATGGAGAAATACTCATGCTCCTTTGATTAAACTTTCATGGAATCAAAGTCATACTCTGTCAGGAGTTCCCTATACCAAACTTCATTGGCCTGCTGGTGAGACAACAAAAAATATAGATAATTTTCCTGTTTACATAAATAAGATATTACACCTCTTGCATGTTGTTAGTAAGAGCACAGTTGTACAATTTGCTAAAGATTTTTGTAATGTAGATATGATCTTTGATTAAACTTCAAATATTACAGCATGCAACTTCAGAAAAGAATTCAAACGTTCCCAAAATAGCAAAATATGCTGGGAGAAAGGGAACTATGTTAACACAGTCTCAACAAAGCAGAGCAAGGCTAAAATGACAAGTAATGAAACAGCAGCAGTAGGAGTTCTCTACTGAGGCATACATTTGGATTTTATTATCATTATGATTATTACAGTTTCTTTCTAATACTATCAATTGGAGAGGCACAAACACCTTTTATTTTTTGCATGAGGAACAGTACTTACTTGCTCTTTCTCTTGCACTTTTTGTGTTGAAAACAGACAGTGGGTTGTAATGGTTTAGAGAAGGTTCAAGGAACGCTACTGGAATGGCTGCTGCAAGAGATGCTAAGCACTCACCAAGTGCGGGACGCTGCCTGTATATGAAAGACACTAAATGTTACCTGAGAGAGAAAGTTTTTCACTAGGCTTTCAATGTCTAGCATGCATTATATAGGAGCATTTATTGCTGATTCAGTTTATCTTTTTATTACATTAGGAACTATTTCACTAATTTGAAAAATTTCATGAACAAGATTACTGGAAATTACAGTGGTATAATAAACACAGTAGTGTTGTGGGTTTTGGTTTTTTTTTAAAATGAACAGAAAGAACAAAACACCAAGTATTGTATATTAAATGTAAACTGCTCCGCAGTGCAACTGTGCAACTACAGACTAGAAAACATGCCTAGACTATGAACAATGAATAGATTAGTAGCTGCATATTTTTATTATACCTTTGGTTTGCTTAAACAAGGAGCAAATGTATATAATCAATAGTAATTTGTTTTGGTAGTCATACCCTTTTTCAAGACTTCACTTCTTTTCTCTCTCTCTATATATATATTTATTTTGCTTCACACACAATACCATTTACATAGTCAAATGATGAGAAACACTACTGCTACTTATCAAAGACTGATTTCATGACTTTATGGCATTCTGTGCAGCGTGTTCTGAAAAGGACAATTCTGCATTCCCCTACACAATCTTCTCATGTTCCTGTCTATTCTGTGCTAGCACTAAAACTCAGATAGCGTCTTGATAAGCTGGATGAAGGAACTGGTTCAACTAAAGATAAAACTCACCATAAGAACAGTACCAACCAAGCCAAACCAGCATCAACAACGCATGCTCATCCTCTGTCTGCATGAACACTGTTCACCAGAAAAAAAAAGGGGTGGAAATGTACAGATGAAGGTGCAAGAGATCCTGAGAGAGTCCTTTTCAGCTTAAGACTAGACTCACACTGGTTTAAACTAAAGCTAAGGTACTCTTTTGAAGTTCTACAGCACGTGTTTTACAAGAAGCCTTACAGATTTTGTTACATTTGACATACAGATTGGATAAAGACAGCACACACCTTTCGCCCTTGAAGCTCCTTGGTTGTTTTGGAATAGACATGGACCTGTTGGAGCAGATCCAGAGGAGGGCCACAAAAATGATCAGAGGGATGTAAAACCTCTCCTATGAGAAAAGGCTGAGAGAGTTGGGACTGTTCAGCCTGGAGAAGAGAGGGGTCCACAGACACCTTGTAGCAGCTCTCGAGTACTTAAAGGAGGCTTATAAGAAAGATGGGACAAACTTTTGAGCAGGGACTGTAGCAATAGGACAAGGGGGTAATGGTTTTAAACTAAAAGAGGGTAGATTCAGACTAGATAAAGAACTTTATATGCTGAGGCTGGTGCAAAACTGAAACAGGTTGCCCAGAGATGTGGTAGATGCCCCAACTCTGGAAACAAACCATCAGGTTGGAGAGGGCTGTGAGCAACCTGGTCTAGTGGAAGGTGTCCCTGCTCACTGCAGGGGAGTGTTCCCTTCCAACCCAAACTATTCCGTGATGCTTCAACTTCCAGGAATAACAACAATCTTCTTAAGACTCCTTGGTGTCAACAAAACCTTCATAATTTTATTACCTAAAGTCAATGATCGTGACCCATCTACTACCTCCTCTTCAACTGTCTACGTCAATTTTTATTTCACAACCATGCTGGAATGTAAAGAGATATACAACTATATACACCTTAAGCTCTTTTGCTGCAGGAGAAACAAAAGAAATTGGCAATAGCAATGTCGTTAGAGAATTGTAAAACATTGTAAAAAAGGACTTTTGTTCACTTGGATATTTCATGCAACATGATTGACATAATATTATTCTATTTCAAGGGTGAATACTTATTCATTCTCAGTACAGAATTGCTAGAGTTTACTGTGGCTTACTGCTGTCAAAGAATTGGAAAATGCAGAAATCAATTACTATAAAAGTAAAGACAAACTTTGTGCTCCACCTATATATCCATGTAGTTTCTACATTCTGACCATCCATATAGTGCATATTTGGCAATAGAATACATGATGCATTAGTATAACAAATAGCAAGCACAGAACCTTTCATTAAAAACATATTTTTGATAATGTTAAGGTTCCTACTATATTTAAGAGCACAGCAATTTTCTTTTCCAATTTAAATTGTAATGAAAGATGCAATATTACATAGATAGGAAATTTCATAACTTTTCCTAAAATGGAAACTATTACATTTTTGCCTTCTGTTGGGTCAAAAAGGAAAAGCTTGCTCTGTGCATGTGTATGTACAGAAACACATATTGAAAAGTAATTTGAAAAGACTAACATCAAACACACTGAGGCTACTTAATCACATGCATGACAATGTCATAATGCATACCCATCTTTCTATATGAAAGAAGCCAGAAGAAGAGGTGGTGAACAATTATACAAAAAGGCTAAGAAAATTACTCTAAGTACACAGGTATTTTCTGTAATATGGAAGTCCTAAATAGGAGAAACCAAGGGAAAGCCTAAAATTTCACAGAATGGAAATGAGGAAAGCTAAAAAGAATTTCAGAGCAGATAGTCACTGAAGTAAGAAGCAAATAGTATAAAACAAATCACTCAGGGAACTGAGTGGTTCAATAGAATTAATGGAGTAAAAGGAACTTAACCCTTCAGACAAAAAATGTTAGTAAGACAACTAACTGTAAACATGTGCTACAAAGAATGAGGAATAACTATCAGAGGCTTATGTGAAAGTCTTGGAGGAAGTGGAAAACACAATATAATCTAATCAATCTAGATTTGGAAAAATCAAAGCAAGATAAAAGACCACCAACCGACAGTAGTCATGATGAAGCATTTCCTATTACACCATTCTTATAACAAACTTTCTTATGTCTTTGTCAGACTTCATTCTGAGAAGCCGCAATTAAACCAAATTGAAACCTTAAATTGAGCAATCTGGATATGTACGTACGACTGAATACATCAATTATTTTTTTCATATTTAACTAAATATATAAAAAAGTGCTATAATTTCTTAACTTATGCAGAAGTTTGTATATCTTAATATTCATACAGATATTTCATAATTTGTGCTAAAAATCCTTTAGAAATGTGTTACTATAAACTCATCAGGCAAAGACCAAGACACTAAAGGGACATAGAACTTTTGGGTACCGGGTATGAAAAGGAAATTTTCAGCCCTGAATTTAGAACCTACATTTCTGATGCAGTGAATGAAAGAAATGGATACCTGGGTATAGAATTTTAGTCAGAACGCCTATAGCAATAATACTACACTTGCCAGTAGAGCATTAGGGCTCACAGTACGCAAGGACTACTGCATTTTTCATCCAGTCCTCAACATTTATGAACCACAGAGCATCTACAGAAGAAAGGTCCACAGAGATATCAGAAGCATGTCCAATGTACTAAACAAACTAAATACTTTCTGTACAAAGGATAAAACCCTTGACAATGGAAAGGCAGCAACAGCAATCCAACTTAGTATCAGTCCTGATCCCCAGCAGCCAGAAGTCTTGTAGAAACTATTTCAGCCATGAAAAATTATATTCATCTATGAAAAATGAACTATGACTCATCCTGAAATGGAAGGTAAAACTTCTTAATGTCCCTGCCAAAATTCACTAGGAGAAAAGCTGCACTTTAATCCTAAATTTGAGCACTGTTTTAGTTGAATAACTGTTCAAGTCAGCTCAATCATTCACTTCTAAGTTTTGCTGAAATATTGAGCAGTGTGTTTGAAATCCTACCTCCTACTTAGACACTGATGTCTGCCTACAGCCTTAATTTAAGAGCCTGAGTAAGTCTAGTGAAAACCAAACTAAATTAAATTCACAGTTGGAAAACTCTCACACGGCCTTAGGAGACTAATTCATTTCCTCAGATGTTTCTGAGGAAATAACTCTTCGCTTCTAAGACAACTGCAGTAGGAAAGGTTGATGCTGCTCACATCAACGTTTAGTGTAACTGTCCAGTGCTCATAGCTCTTGCCAATCAAGTGGAGGTTGATGCGATGAATGCTCCTCATTGAAAGGCACCTCGAACACAACCACCTTTTATTTCCTGTGAGAAGATGCTGACTAATAGTTAGAGTAGGCATAAGGCACTTCCTATTTTGCCTACCAGACCTGTGTCAAAGACTATTTTCAAGCCCAGAAAGAGAAGAAAGCAAGCATACAGCTTTGTAATTTAGAGATTTATGTATAAATGGCTGAATGTGGACATACAAAAGAATGAGCTTGTTCACACATGTACATACATGCAGAGTGGGTGGAAGGAGACAGTCTGTCCACCAGACTGCTCTTGCATTTTGCATAAAAGAATAACTGAATAAACTGAAAGGAAGGAAGTGGAGACCAGCATTCCTCATACTAGGCAAAGCCTCTCCCAACCAGACTACAAGTTGTATTTCCTCCAATTTAGTCTCTCTCATGTCCTGTGGATATTAAACCTTTCATTGTAATAAAGACCATGAAAAGTGCCTAACCTAAAGCCTTCAGAAGCATAAGGAAGAGTTATGATTGCCTTGGCTCCTGCCTTGTGACAGACAAACAATTAGGCTTCTCTTTTCTGAAGTAACAGATACGGATTTGAGCCTCTTTTAATGGAAGTGGATCTAAAATCCAGGTCTTGGAACATATCATAGCAAGTAGACCCTACTTTTTTAAAATGCAAGTAACTGCTAAAGTGGTTTCCTTTGTAGAGTTAAGGCTGTAAGACTGCTCTACATATGCTCAGGATTTTACGCTCAGGACAACTATTTTGAGAACTTTCTATAGACTAATGTGTGAGACAGATGCAGCTTACTTAGTACTCAGCCTACTTAACACAAAAACATGGAGTAGCCAAACTTCAGGAACATTAATGGCAACCCATGGAAAAATTTAGCTTTCCCTATGGGAAAAATAAATTCCCTGCAGATAAACTACCATATATAGGATGAGATGTTTGCTTTCACTTAGTTTTGTGTTGGGTTTTTTTTTGTGTGGAATTAACTCTGAGATATGGGCAAATACTTTCCAGTTAAAGTGCATTTTAAACATGCTCACACTGTTTCAGATCCACCTTTCATTCAAACTGCTTTATTACCTAAACAACACACACCTAAAGAAGAGAAAATTTTACATGCTGAGTTTTTCACTCAATACCTTTCAACATAGATGTTCTTCCCAGTCCCAAGGGAATAGAGGCTACAAAGAATTCTGTAACATGAAACTTGTACATCACCCACTACAGGAAAATAAGAAGTAGATTATCAGTATTTATTCAACTAAAGAATACTTTCTAAATATTAAACATCTGTTTTACTCAATCTGATAAATGATGTCTAAAACTTTTAGCATACGTATCACTGAATATTCTTGGCTGTCAGTACTCCACACATATATTCTGATTGAAGATATTTATCTTCAATTTTTCTAAAACCTGATCTGTCATCTACATCAATTCCAAAACCTAACAGATTATCAGACATTCCATAGGCCAGCAGATACTTGCTAATAAGATATTGCAGGTTATCACACTTGCAGAGTATAACTTTAAGCTGAATCACATCGGTCCATGTGTATAACCTCTAGGAAAATGACCTAAAGGCTCCCCACCTTTTTAAAGAAAGTCTTTTAATGGCTATTCAGTCTTTTAATTGTCTTCTGCTTTGGAATTGGGATCACTCAAATATATACAAAATTTTGAAACAGCATATTGCTGAGTGTCATAGAGGCATTTCAGTAATTTTAAACTAAATGATGCTAAAAATAAGGAAAATTTAAATTAAAAGTACTTTAGTGGTTTTCAAATGTAAGAAAAAACCACAAGGAATTAATAATGAGTTGTCTCCTTCAATCTAATGAAGTAAAAATATGTAACAAAAATAAGCATAGTTTAATTTTGATAGGAAACTAGTCTCATCCACATAGTTGGTAGGACAGAACTTTAGGGGAAATTTTAATTTCTCTGTCTGAATGTCTGGAGAAATACAGTATATAATTAACTTAAAACTTACTGAGTATTATTTTTAAACATGCGGTAGAAATAAGCTACTACTCAGGTCCAGATTTAATGCTGGAAATGCGTGTGCTACTGAAAACAACATTTCATTTCATCCTTTGAATTCACGTACTCATTATTAAAAATTATTTGTATTAGTATAACATGGTAAACTTCAAAAATAAAGTAAAAGACTTACAAAGTAAATCAATTCCAAACTGATATTGTGAAATATGTTCAAATATTGATGTCAAGATCGGTAACAATGCTACTGTAGTATAATTGATATTCTGTGAAACACCCTTGATTTGGGTTCGTGAATGGGTAAATTTTCCAAGTTTAAGATTTTCTGAAGTTTTTTCCAGGTCTTCAGCTGCATTTTCAAAAAAGGCACGCAATCCAGCTTTAACAAGCTCAGATCCTGATTTCATAACAGTTCTAAAAAATAGTAAGGGAAAAATATTAACTTTGCATTGATGTTTAGTAGCTGTATAGATGTATATGTACATGTTAGTTACATCCTATCAGTATTTGGAGATACATACTTGTATAGTGAATTTTGCATTATGAACTGAAAAGGACGGTTACACCTACATGGCAGTATAAGCAACAATTAACTAGCAGTATTTCATACAAAATAATAACAACACACAACTTGCTTCCTCAGTCTTGCCTTTCCAGTTTTCATGATCTGCTTTCAAATAAGATAATGCCTTCTCAGCAAATGTCATAGGTGGTGAGAAAGCTCTTAATAACTGTTAATTCCTAAATTGTTATGGGAGCTACAGTAACTAGTTGTGCAAGTCAGGATACATGCTTAGCTACCTTCAACACACCCTAAATCTAGAAAATTCAACTGCAATACAAGCCTCACAGTCCCTTAATTTTTTTTTTTTTTCACTCTTCTCCAATCTCTTAATGAAGCTTTCCAGCAGGGTTATTCATGAGTTCATTGTCAGACTGCTGTATAATATAACCAGGCCAGAAAACAGCTCAAATTACAAAAGTATTCTGGCCTGTGTTTTAATCCATGTAAGCACTTCGATGACAAACATTAAAAGTTAGCAAATGAAACTATGTCCATATGTTAATACATTCTGCACACTTCTAATGCTAAAGTTTCCAATATGCACTAAACTGTCTCAATATTTACAGGAGTCAGTACTTGCAGTTCCAAAGTTTATGTCTTTTATATCTCCCAATAAAGTCTTCAAATGTTCTTGGAAAGGGTGACAAAAATTTTCAATGTTTTAATGTCAGGCATTCAACAGAAACATGGAGGTGAAACACTTTAGACGAAATCCTCTAATACTGAAGTCAGTTTCTGGATTATTGATACTGCTAATATCATTAATTACAAATAAGGAATAAAAAATACCGAAACAATCCAACTGCTCCTGAAAAGCTCTGTAACACCTACATAGTTTGCAGTTGGTACAAATGTTGCAAACTTACCGTGTGTCAAGAGACTGAGCTAAGATGTGCAGGCAGTTCACCATTGTAGCAGAATCACTACCTGGTTAGAAAGAAATACTGTGAGAGCACAACAGTACAGAAAATGCAGGATAATCTAATAATCCAAAATGTCATTACTGGAGAGGCACAGGTTAACCAAGACATGACATACGTCTCCCACCTTAGGTCACTGGAGGGAGAATTAGGTCAGGTTCTAGAACTAACTTTTTAATTTCTTAGGTCCATTGCCATACAAGAACTAAAAAGAATAACTAGTGTCTACTTACCACTCATTTTCATCATGTGGCACTCTAAACTTTGTATCTTGTAGTACCTACATTTCTTTTATAATTTTCTTAACGATACCTTTGTAAGAGGTATGTTATTTTTAAAGAGGTAAGTTTTTAGTTATAAGCCTATGAAGAAATTAACCTATTGGATTCAACAGTTGGATGAAAGAAACCAAAACAACTAATGTAAGATGACTTTTAAAAAGCTAAAAATAACTTCAAAGTCATGAAATATTTTTCAAGGAATCTGAAAATCCTAGACGCTGATATTTCTTCCTGCTCCAACATTTTGCATGTTCTATTAACTACTAGATTCAGACCCATGTTCAATGCACTCACTAATTGTACTGGAAGTTTATGCGTCATTTTATAGAATTTTGCCTATAGGTTGTAAAAAGCTTCAGGTAGGATAGAAGCAGTGGTTATACATTCTTTATATTTTTAACTTTAACAAGACCTTTCTTGAAAACTTACCGAAAAGTGAGATCCTATGTCTAACAAGTGCAGCTAGCTTGCAGAAAAGGCTAAAGTAGAAAAGAACAGAAAGAGCAAGACAAGACAAAGATTAAAGATTTATTTAGAATATGAGGCAAAGAGTAGTAGGAATATGAAAGAAAAAACAACATAGTTGTTTTTGAAAGTGTATTTTGAAGCATACATGATGATAACAGTCAGTCAAATAACTGCATGAACAAGAATAACTTTTTGTAGCTTCTGAATCCTCTCATTTTCTAAGCTTCACTTCTTCCGAGATGACTTGAAATGTGAAACTTTCTTTTGATTACAGTAATTTTCAACAATTGCACATTATATGTTTGAGTCATTTTTTACGGCTATTATTTCTGAATAATTTTTTTTTTTTTGTAAGAACAAGAAAAACTGAGTAACACTTCAGTGTTTTACTTGGCATTCTGAAGGAAACAAACATTACAGATCTTCATACTATTTAAAATAATTCACAAAGATATTATTTGTAAATAAATAAATCTGTGTTTACCATCACTGCTGATGATAAGATGAATCCTGAAATATATACAGACTAGAAGAGCTTCTGGCAAGTATGTAAAAACTTGCACATCTCTCCTATCTGTCAAAATATTAGGATAATTAAGAGAAAAGAAAAATCACCCACTCTCTAAAGATTAAAGGGGCTACTTTAACTTTTACAAGAAAGACAGCTAGGCAGACTTGTTTATCATCTCTGCTATACTTTACAAATGGAATTAGGATATAACAAAATGAAGCAAATATACCTTAGAAATTGGTATTTGTCTTACTAACAAGAGATTGTCATAGTTATCTTCACAATAACAAGGAAATACTGTACTTGCTTTAAGATGAAAATAACTGATAGTCACTTTTCTCAGTGAAGAATGGACAAAGAATTATAAAATATTTCTGAATTTATAATAGCACATATGCAGGCTAGACATCTAACTTCATGTGTCTTTGTAAAGGCGTTTTGTACAACCCCAGTAAACATCTTTCTAGATTTATTAAGCTGACCTGACTGACTTTAGGGAAGTAATAGGAGTATTCAGAGAGGAAGAATGAAATTGAATGAAAGCTCCATCCTCCTGAACATGAGCTGACTTCCCCAGTTACTAGAGGACTATCTTGCACATTTGTATATATCTGAAGGCTCAGTAAGCAGAATGCTATGAACTTAACATTCACTCTTACGGGAAACTGCTATATAAAGACTACCACCGACCCGGAAAATGGAAACAAAAGGGTAATAATATTTTAGGGAAAGGCGCAAATGTGTAGGAAGAGAAACTGAAGAAACATATCTAGGAAGTTCAGTGCTAGGCCTGATCTTATGTAATGACAAGTAATCTTTACTTGTAAATTTTATATCAACTTTTCTGTCAGAAAAAAGGAGTCAACTCTGGTCAACATAGTGAAGGAAAACAAAAGAAATTTGAGAAACTGACAGTTAAAGTAAGAAAACATGAGAGTAAAATCCAGTTTGAAGCTTATGACACCTTTACAGGGGAGAAGAAAATTGGCAACAAAAATATTATATGACAATCATGGCTAAAACCAAACTAAATATTAATTTTAAATGTTAATTGCAGAAAAATGAAATTAATATTTTTGTAAAGGCAACACATTATAAATTAAAAGGCAACTGTCTCTTTTTAATTGTGTTTCCTAGAATAACTTTGAGTCAAATGGCTGATTCCAACCAAATCTGAAACAGTAGAGACATATACAAATTCATAAATTTCAGCAATTTTTGGGGGGGTGTACTGGGGGAGAAGTAATTTTGTAAAGAAAAGAGAATCCATAATTACACTTAAATAGCTGCATAAAGATATTTTCTTATTTTTCAATATCTGAAAATTTAAATCTGACACCATTTACATGACCCAAGTGGGATAGAATTTAACCAGAAACTGCCATTAACAATGAAACACAAATCCATCAGAAACTGTTTTAGTAGTTCCATTGCTTGCAGAATCATTTATTAATGTTTTGAGGCTATGCAGCACCATTGTATTTTGTAATATATATATAAAGTACATATACTTAATTATTTAATTATGTATTACAAAGTAGTAAAATAAGGAATTCTATTCACTCACCACTATTCTGGTACAGAATAAACAGTTCACTTTCTATCTGAGAAAACTGAGCTTTTTAACTATGTCTTTAATTCAAGGAGAGACCTTGAATCTATATCTATATAGAACCCTCCTGTGTATAATTTTCTACTTACCTTGCTACCATTTCCTTTTCCTTATTTGATGCATATCCACTGCTACTGAGTGTTTTTGTTGGAGAAGACAGGAAGTAGAGGCAGTGATTTGTAAAGTACTGATCAACTAATGGTAAAAGAACCTAAGAAATACAGATACAAAATGTAGTTTTCACAGAGCACAATGGTGAATGTAACAACAATGCTCTGATTTGTCAAAGGTCATTCAAAGAATTTTGGAAGTTTTGTAACAGTTGTATTTTCTCATTTCAGACACAAAGTCCTATAAATTAAAACCATAAGCCTTTCAATTTTACTTAAAAGTTACATACGGAGTTACACAGAAGTATTTTGGTCTAATATTGCAGGCTTAATGTTCTCACATTCAACAGTGATAAATATCACTGAACTAAGAGGAACCTTCCTCTCCACTCTTTATATAACTGTGCAGTACAGATATAAAGGGAGAGGTCTTTTTATTTTAAGATCCTAAATTAAATCCTAAATGTTCCTTACTTTGAATCTGATTATTGACAACATTTTTCTTACACAAATGTGTATGACATTACTATGCATAGGAATACTTCTTTCTGATAATTAAATGACACTATGCACTTCAGTGATATACAAAGTAAAAAATTTTCATAAATAATTTATATGTTCAGTCAGAGTATTTAGTTTCATGTAATAAATAAGCTGCCTTTTAATTTCTATGTTCCTTCTCACGTAGAAGTAGATATATTGAAGTATTTTGAAATAACTGAATCAAGCAAATATATTGAAATATTTCTGAAGATACTGTGAAATACTTGTTAACAACACTTAATTTATTACTTACCATGAAAAAAAGAATAATATATATGTATTACCTGAACAGCAGTCTATTACAAATTTCCATGTTCTGTATAATGGAAAGCATATGTATATTGCTTGAAATACTAAAACACTCACTTTGGCAAAGAATTTTATTTCTTGGTCATGTGGAGATTTTTCAGTTTTTCCACTGGTTACAATGGCTTCTGCAAGGATACAATCAAGACAGACATGAGTAAGAAATTGCCTAATAAATAACACAATAGCTCTTTAACATAGCCTTGAAAACTTAGTTTTGCTGAAATGCAAATAAACCATCAGAAATAGTTTATCTAGTTCCATATGTCCAAGAATTTAATCTGTAAATTAAAAGAATGGAATTTGAGTTTCTTAAATGCAATAAAAATAGTGGTCGCTACAAATTTAAACACATCAATACAAATATTTAAGTATCATCAAATTAAAATATTTTTAAAATCAAATCTGGAACTTACCCAAATGTGCAATAAACTCTTGAGCAGAATCGACATATTTTAAAATTTTCTTCAGAAACTTAAAGGCAAACCTCTTTTCCATGGATGAAGCATCCAACTCCATGTCATTCACACCTCTGTTTTAGAAAGCATTAAGGTAAACAGCACTGATGATGGCAGTAATAAAAGTGATGACAATATCATGAAGCATTCCATTCCTTATTACCTTTTAATTATGGTAAATTTTCATAAGGAGAAAATGACCTTCCATAGGAACACTTGGTTATCAACTACGTAGCAAGGAATATTAAAATCAGTTAATGTTTCTCTAAGAGTATAATAACTTTGGATTAAAGTATCTAAAATATATGTATTTTAGGATAAGAACTTCAGGGAGTTATCTTACTGCTCAAATGAAGTTACGGTGCATTAGAATCGTACAAAGCAATGTATTGGTCACTCAAATTCTATTGCTGGCAGATTAAAGTGCCAAATGTTTAGGAAGTCAGCAATTACAGCTTTACAAAATCAGCCCAAGTGCTACACTTAACTTCATTAGTCACTATTAAACTTCATTTTTCTCCTTGAATTTTATGGAACACTGAATTCAAAATGACTTAAGCTAGTAAGTGAAAACCTAACTGCAAGTAACAAACTACTATACTATTCAAAGTATTTGAAACTTTTCAACAGTATGTGATACTTTCTAAAGAGGCATGTATTGTTTATTCTTTGAGACAAATTAATGACATAAATCCTGACCAGTGCGTGCAAAATATTCCAGAGCAATAAAAACATGTGTGGTTGGCTGTGCCTAGATTTCAAATATTAGATTTTATTTTAGCTGCAAATGAAACCTACATCACTGAAATTCTGAATTTTTTTAGGATCAGACAAAAATTTAGGTTGGAAGGAACCTCTTAAAGTCATCTGATCCAAATCACATCTCAAAGTAAAGCCAAATCCAAAGTTAGATCAGGTTGCTCAGAACCTTGTCCAATAATGCAACAAGTATCTTCAAGGATCAGTATCTCATGATGACTCTGGAGAGCCTACTATAATGTTTGACCACCCTCATTGTGAAAAAATAACGGTGAAATATTTCTAAATATCTAACTGGAATTTCCCTTGTAACAAATTGTTACTTTTGAGGAGATAGTGTTTGACATCATTGTGTCTATAATGTTGCATTAAATAGTTGAAGACAGGAGTAGAATGCCATCGTAGCCTTCTGTTTTTATACTGAAAAATTTTACCCTCTCCTCAGAGCTTCTCATAGTATGACATGCATGCCAATCCCTGAAGCATTGTGGTTGCCCTCCACTTGATTGACAAAAGTGTTAATGTCTTCCTTAGCTCTAAAACTGGACAACATATTCCTGACACAGTCTCATGATTGCAAAATGGAAGGCAAAAAAAATCACCTCCATCAACCTGCAGATTACACTAATACTGCCTAGTATGCAGTCAACCTTCCTCATCACAAGGACAAACTCCTGATTCATGTTCAATTTGTGGAATTCAAAGTGCTTTTTTTCATTGACGCTAACAGGCTTAATTTCCTTGTTACTGGGGTTATTCCATCCCAGGCATAAGACTTTGCTTTTACCTTTGCTCAACCTCACAAGAGTTTTTTTAGCCCACTTCTTCAGCCCATCAAAGTTCCTCTGAAAGACAGCCAAACTCTCTGATTTATTGCTAAAGGCTCATTCCACAGAATTGCTAAGGATGCATTATGTTTCATCATCCAGGATGTGAAGACGGATTTTTGTCCTATTTCTTTTTGAGGTTATGTAAGTCTATAGATTTTTAATTTATTCTGTTTTCAAACACTTGCTTTTACAAGTCATTCATTCTTTATTCCTCATTCTGTTGAGCTTTTCTTGTATATTAGTTTGCAACTTCTTCATAGTTCCTTTATTCCAACATTAAGAGGACTAAACCACACTTGAGATTTTCAGTTGATAGATGGTGGCCTAAACTCAGGAACTCTGGTTGCCCATAATGGCTACTTCATTTGCTTCTGTATGACTCTTCCAATAGTAGCAGATAGGAAGACTCTACCTTTATGAAGTACAGAAAGTGCCCTGGCTAAAGGAGATGCAGAGACTACAGAGGGGTTGAACAGTGTCTCAGAAGTAGGGAAGAAGTGAGGAACTGGTAGTTTGTGGCACTGAGGTGAAAGCAAGAAAGGACCAAGAAAGCAAGAAAGATGCTGGAATCACAGTTGTAGTGTGGAGGAATTGATCACTTGTCCTGATCACTACCGTTAGTAGCGGTGTATGAGTAGATTAGGGAGAATAAATGGAAGATTAGACTAACCACTGAAAAACAGCTATGAGGTGAATCCAAGGGAAAAAGTAATTCTGTGAGAGAACGCTGAAGCAGCAGACAAAACCATCTAATACCGAAGTCTATGGTCTTGATAATGTTGGAACAGTGGTAAGAGGAGAGGAGGGGAATAGAACCAGGGAACCAAGAAATATGTTCCAATCCCATTTTACACATAAACATAGAAGGACTCTAATCGCCCATCTTACAGTTTCATTTGGAAAAAAAAATCTCTTTAAAGAATTCTATTTTATAGAAGTTTATTACCTCCTATTAATTGATGTATCACATGTAATCAAATTATTTGGCATGTATTAACAGCTATGTATGGTGAACAGTCATCTGCTGCTGCCTCACTCTCACAACACATAATGCAGCTAAGTATTTATCTGTATTTTCAGCGAGAGCACTGTAAATATTCTCTTTTTGTGTTTATAGTAAATCATGGTTGCTAACAGATTACATGTACTTTCTGTTAAATAACAAAGTTTACATCAAAAGAGCTTGTAGAAGTTTAAAGATGTTTAACAAAATACCACTTTGTTTCTAACATATACTTTAGTAAGTCCTCACAGATTTATCTGTATGTCAGACACCCAAAAGTGCTTCGAAAGTATTCTCAACAAATAAAAAGGAGCAGAAATCAAAACAGAGGCAGATTGTATATGTAAAGTACACACACTGTGCCCCCTAAACATTTCCCATCATAAAGAATTTCCATGCTTTAATGATTAGTCCAATATTATTAAGAATTACATTCTGGAAATGTGATAATTGCAATCAGTACTTCAAAAAATTTTATATATACTTAAAATATGCACATATTCATCTGAAGAAAACACTGAGAAAAGGACAATCTTGATTCACCCTGACATAGATCTTTCCCCAGACCCCATAAAGAGTTTGAACAGGCTTTTTCAAGTCGACTTGTTCCATTAGTTAACACCAAAAACTAACAGACTGCAGCAAGACGAGGACAATCATGGTGTGTACACTGGATGCAAGAAAATATCTAAAAATATGTGCAACTTACCGAGATATGACTATACCATTGACTTGAAGGAATTTAAACAGCTCTTGTGCCTTTTCACGGTCCCGTGATTTCTCCTTGGCTGTCAATGTGTCGTAAGGTACTAATAAAGGATGACTACCTCCACCTTTAGTAAGTTGAAAGAACTGTAAGTTTTTCTACTGTAAGATTTATTTTGCTTCAAGTACAAAAAGTAATGATTCAATTTTGATCATCTTACACTGTCTTCTTTCAGACTTATCCCTCATTTTCCTTGTCTTTTGTGTGATTCACAGGATTCTGGCTTACCTTTGCTTTCCAACTCCATTTTCTTCTTTTTGGCCCATATGTTATGGTAGTTTTCTGCCATTACCTCAACCATTCCCTATATAAACATCAGAAAAAAACAAGACTCAAAATCAAAAGGTGACAATTTAAAATTCTGTAAGTCTACATAATTTTACAGTCTTGAGTAAAGTCTACTCATGTGTTAAGTGGTTATGACTACATTCAGCTGTTCTTTGAAGGCAGCACAGAATATACATCACATGCTATTTACAGCCCCTTCCCTAGCTTCATGATAACTTTTCTAGGAACTCAGGAAGGGGATAAACAGTAGAAAGCTCTTCTTTAAATATGTAAACAGCATGGCATGCACCTTTCTATAACAGCATATCAAAACGACAGTCACAAAATATTAACACACTCATAAAACCTGCCTTAAATTCAACAAATTACCTATTTTCAGCACAACATAGGCAAAACACAAATGCAAACCTGAAGCTCCCGAGAAAGCACCACATTAGAGAGATCAAGTGGTGCAGGACTATACCCATTTCCCTGGGGGGAAAAAAAGAGAATTATTTTCAGAAGAAAATATTTCCAAGAAAAGAATCACATATGCAACTACATCTCTGTTGTTGATCTGATTAGAATAACATCATTCATATTTTTAAACTTTCTTGTAGAAACTGTGTTCACCTTTTGTTTTGCAATGTGCTGAAGACACACAGGATGATTAACAGAAAACATCTGCTGATGTAGAAATAAGATTACTTCAGATACTTTGATATCTCTATTCAAAATAGATGGCAAGCTGCTAAGAACTAAGCTTTTCAGCCTCAGAGAGAAGAGCAATCTTAAGGCATACAAGATGTGCCTTCAAAACATGACAGAACAGTGTGGCAACAGCCTGAATGAACCATATACTAAAGACAAGACATCACAAACAGAAGTTAAAATAGGTTAGTGTCTCGTGGAATTAACATACTAAGAAAAGGTAGAATGTGATATGTTTATGCAGTCTTTAAATGTTTAAAGTATGAAAACTCCAGGGCAACAAACCTATTAGGCAAAAATTAAATGTGAACGGTCACATATAAATTGGTGATTTCAATCATGTACTGAGTGTAAACGTGTGCTGAAATCCTCTACTCAGCCATGTCTTTATCATCCATCTTCTTGTGCAAGAAGGCCCAACTGCAGAACAGGTTCAACTGGCTGGAAGCAGAGATGCCAGAGAAAGAAGGACTCCCTGTAAGGGAGTGAAGTTTGCTGAATAGGTAAGAAATGAAGTATTGTCTTGTAACGGAGTGCTCAGGGGCCCCTTTTGGTAAGCAAAACTGGTGCTGGGGAATGAACCCAACACAGGTTTGTGGTGCCTGATGCTGATGCTCACAGGATCACCGTCTGGTACAAATTTATATAAGGAATCAGAGGTCATGACACATCTAAGACACTGCTTATGTCAGTAAGACTGTCCAATGCATTGCTCATTAAATCTCACTACATTTAAGCACAAACTCATGTTTAATTCACCTCAAGGGGTACAATAAAAATTCCCCAACAGTTGTTGTAATTTTAAAAATACTTCCTCCCTCCAAGACACATGTATTGAGCAGCAGTCTCAACATGCTATTACAAATAAATACAAATGAAAAAATAGTCTGTATCACATCAAAATGCTAGGTACTATAGAATTACCAGCAAATTTTGCCTGTAGATTTAACAAAAACTATTAAATGTGCAATCTTATTTGTCCATCACAATTATAATCTTGACAATAGCCCATTTCAGGCTCTTCTGTTCGACCAAAAAAAAAAATTACTACATTTACTTATTACAAAATTAAAGGCTTTAACTACTCTGCCATGTATTTTTTGAATGACTATATGAAAACTTTCTTTAGATCTTCTGAGTAAATTAATAGATATGGTCTCTGACAGCCTTATCATCTTGATAAGTTGTCTTTTTGCAATCCTCTCTTCAGTGTTATTGCATGGTTTTTATTATAGTGACATGACTTTCAATCTTAGCACTCTAACATTAAAAGTTTCTTTGCATTAAAAGAATAAAAAATTAACATATTTTGTGTAATTTCTTAGTAAATTAGCCAACAAGCCTTTTGCTTTCTAAATTTAAGCAACTCCACCTTACCTGGCTGGACTGAGATATGCTGCGGAGCTTTTCATTTTCACGCTGATGTATTATTGCTTCTCCTCCTTCCTTGGTTCTTTCTAGGCTCCATCCCATGGCCAACATAGTTTTCAGTGATTCTCTGGCAGGCCAGCGATAAATTTCTTTTTCCTTTGAAGAAAATAATGTAAAATTCCTCTGTATTTAGCAAGTAACAAAAATACAATAAAAATATTTTGTCCTTCTTTATAAAATGTCACGTACCACAAAAGTAGAATTGGTATGTTATATCTGAAGACACAATACAGTTTTTTTGCATGAGAAAGAAGTTTTAAAATACTTTTTTGTTTTGTTTTGTTTATTCTTAGTGGCATTTATTGCTGGGATATGTATTACAAATTAATAGTACCCAAGTGAGCTTGGGAGGAATATTGTAGTGAAATTAGTTAGGCAAGTATGTGTGTTTGAATGCATCAGCACACGAGGCCTTTTTTTAATCATCCTAATTTATATCCATTCACACATACAGAACATTACTGATCTATACACCTCTCCATATAAATACAGCCACTGATAAAAAAACAGGGAACAACCTGTATTCCAAGAGTCCTTTGAAAAGTAAACATGTTATTGAAAATATGAAAAGTTGTGGCAAAAGAAATTCTGACTATGTCATTGTGTTTGTCATTCTACTGCTTTTCTTCACAGTTCAGACAGCTGGCCCAGGGTGGCCGAGGTAGTGTTTTATTCCATGGTATGTCAGGCTCAGTGTACAGGGACAGGGCAAGATTGAAAGAATGTGCCCTACACTGCAGCCTGGGGGGAATGGCCCTACCTGGAGTCTCTGGCAAAAAGATCCAGGGGAGACTCAAGGTCAACCCCTAGGATTTTGGAGTTGCGGATACAGAGGATCCAAGACCTGCTATACTCCAACTGAAAAAGAGATACTAGCAGCTTATGAGGGAATTTGATATCTCAGAAGTGGTTGGAACTGAAGCACAGCTCCTTCTGTCATCTCAACTACCAATGCTGGGGAGAATGCTCAAAGGCAGAGTCTCTTCTACACATCATAAAACTGATGCTTCTGGAGTAAATGGATAGCCCTGTTCACATGATTAGCTCAAACAGGAAATCCCAGTCACCCAGGAATCTTGGAAGTGATCATGGACTGGCTAGAAGGCAAAGATTTTGGAATGTCACCAGAGGAGGAGGTAACACATGCTGAAGAGACCCCTTTGTACAACAAAGGCAGAGTCTCTTCTACACATCATAAAACTGATGCTTCTGGAGTAAATGGATAGCCCTGTTCACATGATTAGCTCAAACAGGAAATCCCAGTCACCCAGGAATCTTGGAAGTGATCATGGACTGGCTAGAAGGCAAAGATTTTGGAATGTCACCAGAGGAGGAGGTAACACATGCTGAAGAGACCCCTTTGTACAACAAACTGCCAGAAAATGAGAAGCAATATGCCCTGTTCACAGATGGGTGAAAGCATCAGAGGTGGAAAGCTGCTGTATGGGAAACATTGGAGGTGGAAAGCTGCTGTGTGGAGTCCCACACAAGGAGTTGCAGAGACTGCTGAAGGCCAGGGTGAATCCAGTCAGTTTGCAGAGGCAAAGGCCATCCAGCTGGCTTTGGACGTTGCTCAACGAGAGAAATAGCCAGTGCTTTACCTCTACACTGACTCGTGGATGGTGGCAAGTACACTGTGGGGGTGGCTACAGCAATGGAAACAGAGCAACTGGCAGCACAGAGGCAAACCCATCTGGGCTGCTGCATTATGGCAACACATTTCTTCCCAGCTAGACAACTTGGTCGTGAAACTGCATCATGTATATGCCCATGCAGGTAAAAGTCAAGACACTGAAGAAAATCGATACAATCAGCAGGTGGACCAAGATGCTAAAATTTCAGTGGCTCAGGTAGATGGACTGGCAACATAAAGGTGAGCTGTTTATGGCTTGGTGGGCCCATGACACACTGGGGCATCAAGGGAGAGATGCAACATGCAGATGGGCTCATGACTGAGGGGTGGACTTGACCATGAACGCTATCACACAGGTTAGTTATAAATGTGAAACATGCGCTGCCATTAAACAAGCCAAGGGGTTAAAGCTTCTTTGGTATGGAGGGTGATGGCTGAAATATAAATATGGGGAGGACTGGAAGATTGACTACATCACCCTCCCCAAAACACGCCAGGGCAAGTGCCATGTGTTCACAATGGTGGAAGCAACCACAGGGTGGCTGGAAACATATCCTGTGCCCCATGCCACTGCCCGAAACAGTATCCTGGACCTTGAAAGGCAAGTCCTGTGGTGACATGGCACCCCAGAAAGGATTGAATCAGACAATGGGACTCATTTCAAAACAGCCTCATAGACACTTGGGCCAAACACCATGGCCTTGAGTGGGTGTATCACACACCTGCCTCCAGGAATGTCAAACGGTGCAATGGACAGTTAAAGCCCACCCTGAGAGAAGGGGGGGGTGGAACTCTCAAAAATGGGGACACCAATTTAGCAAAAGCCACTTGGTTAGTTAACACTAGAGGATCTGTCAGTTTTTCTGGCCCTGCCCAATCAAACCTTTTACGTACTGTAGAAGGAGATAAAGTCCCTGTAGTGCATGTTAAAAATACTTTGGGAAAAACAGTTTGTGTTACTCCTGCCTTGGGCAAAGACAAAGCCATTTGTGGGATTGTTTTCAGTCAAGGACCTGGGTGCACTTGATGGGTAATGAGAGAAAATGGGGAAGTCTGATATGTACGTACCCCAAGGGGATTGGATTTTGGGAGAAAAAAGCTTATGAATTATATTGCATTATGGACAATAATTCTGCAACTAACCCCTGTTCTGAGTTTTGTGTTGTAGGAGTCACTACAGCAGAAATCACTTGACCTGCACAGGACAAGCCTTGCAAGAAGTGAAGCAGTGACCTGACCTGAGACGGCTTCATCGCCCAATGATCCCACACAACATTCCACTTTTTCTGTCCTGAGTGACCCCCACAATGGATGGAACCCAAAGTCATGGACCAACGGACATTTTAACAGACATTTTGTGAAGATGGTCCATAGACTAAGGGAATGATATCTGTGTAGGATGGGATAGGAAAGGGGGTAGCTGGTTAATGAGAATGTATGGAATAGTGAGACTTGAGCCTGATGTAAATGGTATGAAACAAGGGGTAGAGAATGCATTGGTTTCAGGCAGGAAAGAGCTACTTTTCTTCACAGTGCAGATGGCAAGCCCAGGGTGGTCAAGGGAGTATTTCGTTACAGTTGCTTAATACACATGTGCAGTTTATAGGTGGAGAAGTGGCCTGGGGGAGTCGTTAAAACTTTGGCTAGCTTGATTGCTGGGTTGTTAGCTCTTCTGTTAGCCCTTGGCGCAGTTGTTAGCAGTGGAGGGGGGGTGGTGGTGGGGTGTTGTCATTTGTTAGTGGGTTGGGGGTTCTGCTGGCTTTTTTTCCTGGCCATGTTGATACTCTCAGTCTCTGGCTCTACAGGGTTTCGGACTGGGACTCTCGCTGCTCAGGACCTGGCTGTGTGTTTGTCGGCGGGTGGTGAGCAATTGTATCATATGTTCGATTTTCTATTATTTTAATTACTCATTATTAGTAGCATTGTTAATATTAGTAGTATCACTATAGTTTTCATTTATATTCAATTATTAGATAGTTCTTATCTCAACTTTACGAGCTTCCTTGTCTTTTCCTCTGATTCTCCTCCTCCACTGGGGGAGAGGCAGGGGGGATGTGAGCGAGCGGCTGCATGGTACTTTACTGTTAGCCCAAGTTAAACCCTGACAGTCATATTAAGCTTTCTCAAATCACCCTAATAAAAGTATTTCAGTTCTTACCATAAATAAGAATTTTTGTGATAGTTACTTAACATGACAACTTTTATGGAAGGACCTGCTTTTTAGGTTCAAAAGTTCTAATCTGGGACAATTCAGAAAATTCTGTATGAACTGCTGTAATAACAAGTCAACAACAAATTTTTCACCTTCTCTCCAAAGATGTCAAAGCAAGTTACAAACCTTGAGAAATTAAACCTTTTGAATCCCTCTTGATCTCCATTTTCTGAACAGGAAAAGTATGGTAAAGCAGGACAAATGTAATTGATTTATTTGAATCACTCAATGGATCATTGCAAAAATATGTAACAGAATTCAAATTCAGTTCATTGTTCTGACAACTAGAAGACATTCATTCCTAGTCAAGAAATTCAAATAAAGAATGCATTCAAAATAGTTTGCTGTTTTCCCCATTTTCAACTGAAGCATCTCATACGCTTTCTTTAAATTTTTCTACCATCTTTCTTGAAGACAAAATTGCCTTCAGATATGTTAAATTACACTTTCATCTAAAACCCAGGAGCTGCTGTCAGTCATTCCTCATCTATGAAGGCCTGAAAATACTGAGCTATTTATACTTTGAATACAAATTGGCCCATGAAGACTGCCTAAACAAATTATACAAGACTCTGTGTAAGATTATCTAAACAACCACTTTAGCATATAGAAGTTGCTATTCTTAACTGTAAGTTAAAGATAAGTTAATTCTTAACTTAACTTATCTTTTTATAGGATATTTTTGAAATGGATTTTTAAGAAGTACACAAATCAATCTAATTTGTATTGATGCAGTTGAAATTTGCTCTGTTACCTTTTCAGTTAAAGTTTTGAAGGGTCTTATTAATGGGTGAGTCTTCACATTTTCATCCAGTGAAACACCGTATTTCCATCCACTATTAGTCTGAAAAAAATACACATACTGAAATAAGATGACAACAACATAGATGAGTAATGGCAAATTGGCCAGTCCAGTTTGTCATAAACTGCTGATCTACTCCAGCAGCTACTCAGTGCCACAGAGATTTCTGTTAAAAGAGCATGCATCCTTCTTTGGTTACATTGGAACAGAACATGGCCCAGACAGATTAGATGCCATCAGTGAGTTCTAGGTCTCATGAACCAGTTCTGAGCCTAATATACATTCGCCCCTTTCAAACGGACTCACGCAATAAGACAGTACTGGCTAAGGTGAAAGTGCCTCAATTCTCCATGAGGCTAAAGTCAGCAACACAGAGAAGAAAATGTAATATTATCAATCAAGCACTAAAGAACGTAACTTTAATGAATCCTGTGTCTTAAACAATTTGGTTTGAGATTAATGTGCGAATATTTACCTGGCCATAGATATGTATACCTTTGTCTACAAACTTGCATACATAGCCCCACACAACATAATTTTAATTTCTATATAACTGTTCTATAACATTGCTATTATTTTTTTATTAATTGTTATAATAAATTACTTAACCCAACCTCTAACAACCTTTAAAGTTAAAAAGAAAGAAACGCTATAACTGTATTTTCTGAAAAAAAAAAAAAAAAAAAAAAAGGACGTTAAACTTCCCAGGTACTCTCTTAGACATCAGAGCTGCTGCTGTAAAATTGAATCTCTGAAACACTGTCAAAAATAATTATTTCCAGGCAAAATAAAGCTAAGATCTATATATATTTACTTAAAAAAAAAAAAAAACCTGAATCAAGTGCCCCTTTTTCATTCTCCTCAAAACTTTGTCCTAATAAATTCTGGCCACTTTGAAAAAGTGACAAATTTAATGCATTTTCTTGAGAAAATTTTATTCCACATACTCCTAAAGAAATATACAGACATTCACACACTCCGAATCCTGTCATTTAAACTTTCCAGTTTTTCTTCTTCACCCAGGTATTGTTTACTAGTCCTTTTCTGACAGTTGCAAGTCTTAAAATAATTCCTACCTTATCAAAGGCCCATTTATCATGTGAATGTTCCGCATACTTGCTGACAATATACTCCAACTTTTCAGGAAGTACAAGGCTGTAAACAAAGAGGAGTATCGTCATTCAATTACAAATTACTGCAGTCTGATTTATGAAAAAAGGTCAGTATAATATAGCACTAATTGAAACGGTTCACGTCCGATGAAGGCAAGACATTTGGCTTTTCAATTCCATTTTCTTTAGAAGAAATGCCACAAAACAAAGCAGAGCTATAATATCATTTACAGGGAATCTTCAAACACATAACAGTTGCACTGATTAACAAATGCAATTCAAATTCAAACTGAAAAAGAAGGAAAAAAAGCCTGCTTCACCATAACCTATTTTTCTTGGTAATTTTTAATACAGGATGATATTAGTACAGATGCTTCACATGACATAATGATGGAGGGATAAGATTTTAATAGCAAGAATTAACTAGTGATCCTCAGTTCTTAAATATGAAAGCATTTGTAATCTGTATTTTAAAAGCACAAGATTACTAGGAAGACCTAGGTTCCTGCTTATTTTGCTGTATCAGGTTGCTACAGATCAATTCTCAAAACTAAGTGCAGATTTTGTCAAAATTGGGCAATAGACCAATTGAATAACTTACTAGATTTTCATGATCTTGTATTTGTCATAAGCACACTCTAAATTCTGACAGTATGAAATGTATTACAGGTGTATATACCCCAAACATTTCAACTGTTAGGTAATATGGCATAGAATATTCACTATGTACTCTACAGACATAATGTGGACATATTTAAACTTTTGTACAGTGCTGACAAGAATGTTTTATACCTGGTAAACAGGATATGTTGCAGTGAAGTATTTGGGAGGAAAAAGCAAAAATCCCTACACTATCATTAAGAAGTAAATCGACAGAAAATTCACCCTTCAAAGGAGGAAAAAATGTTAATACGGACTAGTATAAAAATATTTAAGGAAAGGAAATCACTATGATCTATATGACTCACTTTGCTGTGCTGACAGGTTTGGGATCAAAATTTCCTTCTGGATCCATTGAAGTCTGCTTTTCCAAAGTTGACTTAATCCGTGTATCTAAATAATCAGGGGGCAAAGCACCAGCTATAGCACTTAGACAAGGCAAAGCCATTCGAAAGAGCTCTGGATCATACTTCTGCAGGAGAGATAGGAACTGGTTGGAAAATCCAATAGAAAAACATGTAAGATGTTAGTGAAAGCCAAGCAGCAATACGTACACATATTAGAAGATGCAAACAAACAGTAAGGCACATTTAAAAATTAGGCCCAGAGCAAAATCACTGCAGCATGACATCTATTTTTCTTGATATCAACTTAATACATTTTTAAGACTATTCAAATTAATGTAAGAGCATGTTGACACTTGTGTAAATATATACAATACACATATGACTCTCAAGATTTCTTTGGGCCATTAAGGCCTACATAGGAAGGGCCAAGAGTGGTTTGCTTAGTTATAGAAGTATGATCGTCTATAAAATACTGTCTTACTTCTAGAAAGACTCATTCTATGTTAGCTGCAGAAGCCATTGTCATTTCTCCCTCTTTCCCCCTGATCTATTTCAGTTTAAGTCATGCTGGTTCAAGGAAATTGTGTTTTACTGCAGCAAAGTCAGTTCAGTATTTTTCAAAATTGTCCTGATAAGACATGAACTAGCACATTTGGTCTTCTAAGGTAATTTTAGCTCTGGAAGGAGCATAGAATTACTTGATATATAAAAATATATGGTGAAATTACATTTGAAGAATCTATCCTTAGTAACTTGCCATGGAACATACTCAAGGTCAATTGTTACACACTAGATTCTAACAGATCTGCTAGAGGAAGAAGCCGCAGATCACTGTAGGCCAAGGTTCTCCTCCCAGCTCTCAAACAACACTCTTGGTATGCTTAGGAAAAAAAAAAAAAATCACTTCTCCATCTTTCAGATTCCCTGTCTGTAAAACGGGCATAATGATATAGCTTTAAAAAAGCTTTAAGTCCTACTGATGAACACTACAGTGCAAGAGTTTGATGTTATTATAATTATTTAATAAATTTGTACTCAGGTAGTACAGGAATCTTTTTGGTGTTATAACACAGGCACCAATCAAGCATTTATAGGAAAAAATAAATAACACTGCAAAAATATGTCTCTTGCTTCATTATAAGAAATAGAAAGACTGTATGCTTCTATAAATCTGAATCATAGAATCATCGAATCACTGAGGTTGAAAAAGACCTTTAAAATCATTGAGTCCAACAATTAACCCAGCATGCCAAGTCCACCACTAAGCCATGTCCCTAAGCACCACATCCAAATATCTTTTAAATACCTGCAGGGATGATGACTAAACCACTTCCCTGGGCAGCCTGTTCAATGCTTGACAATCCTTTCAGTGAAGAAATTTTTCCTAATAAACAATCTAATCTTCTCCTGGCACAACTTAAGGTCATTTCCTCTTGTCCTATCACTTGTCACTTGGGAAAAGAAACTGACTCCCACCTCACTACAGCCTCCTTTCAGGTAGCTGTAGAGAACAGTAAGGTCTTTCCTGAGCCTCTTCTTCTCCAGACTGAAAGACCCCAGTTCCCTCAGCCACTTCCCACGTAGCTGTAGAGAACAGTAAGGTCTTTCCTGAGCCTCTTCTTCTCCAGACTGAAAGACCCCAGTTCCCTCAGCCACTTCCCACAGGACTTGTGCTCCTTCCCCAGCTCCGTTGCCCTTCTCTGGATATGCTCCAGCACCTCAGTGTCTTTCTTGTTGTGAGGGGCCCAAAACTGAACACAGGATTCAAGGTGTGGCCTCACCAGTGCGGAGTACAGGAGGACAATCACTTCCCTGGTCCTGCTGGCCACACTGTTCCTGATGCAGACCAGGATGACGTTGGCCACCTTGGCCACCCGGGCACACTGCTGGCTCATATTCAGCCAGCTGTTGACCAATACCCCCAGGTCCTTTTCCACCAGACCGCTTTCCAGCCACTCTCCCCAAAGCCTGTAGCATTGCATAGGGTTGTTGGCATCCATTTTTTTACCTAGTGAAAAGTCCACCCACTTTGTGTCAAAAAAATGCTTAACAACAGTTTTAAGGTCCATTGAAAATATTTGCTGATAAAGTTATATGTTTATACCACAGCAAGCAGAATGCCTAAAATTTTGAGGCTTTAACTTTTTCTAGTTTTGTTGCAACATTCTTTAATGTGTATGGCACAAACAAAAGAATTGAGATCACAGGGTAAATTGCTTCCACTGAACACCTGGAAGCCATGAATATACCAAACCTGTAAATATCTCAGTAAAAAACAGGGTTAACAACATGGGGTTAACAACCATTTACAGAAAAATGAATATGTTATAGAGGTCCACTAATATTGGCAGAAACATATAATCTTCATTTATCTGTAAAAAGCTAAGACACACTAATTAGAAACATTTTTTTGTGTCACGCCCTCCTGACAGTCTTTGCACTTGTGAGAGCCGTAAGACAGAGTTAAATGTCACTAAAATCAAACACAAATAAGGCTTAAAAGCCATTTTAGAATCATGCAGAGACCATATGCATTTCTATACTATAAAACAGAATGCTTAGAGAAGCAATCATCAAAATCTCTTGGGTAGAACTGGAATATAAGTACAGTGAGAAGCAATGAGAAAATTTGGGTTTGTCGTATAGTAAGAACCTTATTTTTGACCCAATCAAGTAGAAAATGTATCTACTCAGTAATGCACCCCTCCTATTAGAAATGTAACTTTTTCTTATTTGGGGAAAAATGACGAAAGAAAAAATTCCAAGATCCCACTTTGGAACAGGAAAATGGAAGAATATTTATTTCTAAGAATGTTGCATCATATTTCTTTCACTGGGCAATAATCAGAAAACTAACAAAATACAAGGCCATGTTTGAAAACAGACAAGGTAAATTTACTGTGCATACACCAACAATTTGACAAGCATATACACACATTTCTTAAAATCAATTTGATGTCAGTAAAAATATTTTTAAAAGTTTAGTAGAGGTAAAACAGGAGAGGAGACAACACTGACTTGTTAGTGCAACAACTGATCTGCCTCACTGCTAATGTAAGGCTATATGGTTATACCAAGACAAAGACTTGACATTTCATTAGTTTGCAGAGAATTTTTCAAGATTCAGGATTCAATTTTTCATTAGCAAGTTGCTTCATTAAAAGCATTCATTGTCATATCTCCCATATTAGGTGAAAGAGCTGTTAAAAGCAGAACTTTTTTGTACTTGGCACGGCAAATTATCATTGCAATGATTTCATAGTCATGCTATACTTCAATGATGTGAATTACAATCATTACCTTGTGAGACAAGGAATCAAATATTCCCCAGAAAAGTTTTTCAGTTAAATGTAATTCTTCTTCTGCTGCAATTCCATAGCTTCCCATTCCTGAAGGCAGACAATAATATTTCCAGCACTGCTCATAGTGATTTGTCAGAAGCTAGATTTTCAAGAAAATAAGAATGTAAAACATTGGTAGTTAACAAAATAACGTACTGGTTAGTGAAGTCTGAATTGCCAATATCTGTTTAAACGGTTGTGTGAGTATTATTATTCATTTCTGTCTCTTAATTTCTAATGGTCTTTTTTTCTTCTATTTCTTTTTCAGAGAGCAATAGAGAACATGCTGTGAAAATATACAGCCTGTATTATCCTCAGCTGCTGCTGTGAGATTCTCAGTGATGACAGTGAGTAGCAAAATCAAAAAAATTCAGGATTGTCACAGGATAAAAATAGAGACAATGAAATGGGCATACAACAGGACACAATAGATTCTGGTAAAAAGTTTTGCAAATTTAAATTGATTTTACTTCTGTCATTTGAAGTTGATGGCTTCAAGTATTCAAAACATTGCAAAAGACACCTACAGTATACTCTGTTAGCTGTGCCTACTCATCTCTGGAAAAACTTAGAGAAAAAAATATTGTTTAGAGAATCTGTAACATAACAGTTAAGGAGCTAGCATATATGATTTTTGGTGCTCTTTCCACATAATTTCAAATTTCGACTGTTTTCTTCTTTAGAACTAAAAATTCTTATCCCATGGGGAATTCTAAGATTTCTTTTAGCATCAGACTAGAATCCTGACATTTTAATTTTTTCTACGATTTTGTTTAGGAAGGGGAAATAATAATACAAAAAACCAAATCAAACACTCCCTCTTCATGCTTTTGCTCCAAAATTATTGATGCTCCAGAATATGTCTGTGAATTTGGTAGCTCTGCTTTAGAGTATGACAGAATTTCAGTTCTGCCATACAGACCTGCAGACCTAAATTCAGGCCCATTTATCCCAACAGAAACAGGAGGCAAACCTGACAGGAAAAAAAAAAAACAACTAAATGAAAGTTATTTATCATTTCACAATTGTAATTATTTACAGAACAAGAAGATGGACAAGACTTCAATTAAATATTGCTCAAAAATAAAAGGTGAACTATGTTCCCTGTGTCCTATTCTCTGTAGAGCTCACTAAAAATTAATTCCTGGACCATACATTCACCAAGAGTTATTATAATTCAAACAACAGAAGAAGAAATATCAAGATAATGCTAATATTTAATTAGATACTCTCAAATATTCTTTTGCTGAAGCAGTGAAAAGTCATCAGTTCACTGATCAAAATTGCATAATCAACTTACTATATACTGCTTGCATTAGATTTGACAAAATCTTTCATCAATATATTCAGTTCAAAAGACTTTATAAAAAAATAACATTATTTTCAATTCAGAAGTCATTTCACATTGTTTCACCCTGCCCAATTCTGTTTTTAAAAATAGGACAATGACAGATTATTGTGAAGTATGTTTTATGTTGAATGCATGTACAGCAAGTAAAATATTTACCTTGAGAGGCATTTTACAGTATTCATTGAGTAGGGGCACATCAAAAACTAGCCTTCTCAACAGCTGTTGCAGCATAGAGGGACGTAAGTGGCTGTAATTAAAAAAAAAAGTTCTTAGTAAAATTCATATTGTCAGTGTAGTCCAATTTCCATACTGGAATTCAAATCACTCATTAAATATATTTTGAAAAACCAACTGTAGGTGCTTAAGGAATCTCACTTATGCTTCAGCTACATATTGAAGGACATAGCACAGGAAGATGCTCTACTTCTGGACTCTCTTAAGTAAATAGTAAACATGTTTCATTGTGCCATATAACAACAGAGGCAAGGATGCTGGATTTTTTTCAGAATACAGAGAGGAAACAATCTAAGCAAAAGTTTATCCTACCAGAATGGTTTCTGATATGACACTAAAAAGCAACAAAACACTCTTAACTGAAACTGATCCGGGAAATACATTATGATAATTCTTATAAGAAATACATCTCAACTGGAAGATTGAATAAATTACTCAGTATTTCTTTTCTAGCTATTTAATTTCAGTGATCTATAGACTCAGAATCAATGTAAAAATGCTCCTTTCATATCTCCCCCAGTCATCACTTTTTCAGGCTGAAGATTCGTGGTCTATCAAGATGTTCCAAATGAGCAAAATAATTTCTTAAGTTGATCCCTCTTGTTACACTTTTCTGAATCTTTTCCTTTTCTGCTATATCCTCTTTTTGGCAGGGGTCCAGTGCTATGCACAAACTGAAAATGCACACTGCATTACTAATTTCACAGTCCACTGCACAGACACGTAGCACTGCAGTTTATTACAAAGATCAAGAATTGCAATTCAGTTGGAAATTCTACATTTCAATTCCTGATATAACTTCAGTGCTTGGTTCCGTTTTAGAGATAGTTTTAGGATTTAGAGAGTGGAGTGTGTTTTTAATTCTTCTTTTTCTTTTTTAAACTGTGGCCAAGGTTCTTTAAACCATGATCAGAAATATAAACACATCGATCGCTTATAACTCCAATACACATTCACTGTCAGACTTGCCAGAACATTTTGGGTAATTAGTGAGGGTTTTTTTTACAAATAATCAGAATTTGTCCTGTAGCACCATAAAGCTCAAGTCAACATGACAGTTTGTACAATGCAGTACCCATAACATAAAATTCAAATCTATTTTCTCCTAGGAAAAAGAAAATCCCTTCATATACTCTGGTCATTTATTTCATGAAAGAATAAAATAATATTAGTTCTACATAATACACAAAGAAGTGATGAAAATACATATACTGCACAAAAGAAATCAATTTGTAGACAGGTATCATACATACTGGCAAATAGCAAGCAGGCATTCCTCAATAGTGTCTCTTTGTGCCTTTGTAAGGGAACGTCCCTTGGATAACCTATATATTGTGTGAAGCATGGAGTCAACCAGAGAGGCGTGATGCTCTGTTCCAGAAAAGAGGGGAGCACATCTTTTGAGTAATGGAAACACAGCTGAGCAAATATATCTATTTAGTGCGAGAGCTGCTTCTGTGGTACTTAGAGAAACCTGTATGAAGTAGTAAATGATTGTTAGTATCACATGGAATAAAGGTTACTAAACTTGAAGGCTATAAAAAAAATAATGATGAAATACTCCTTAGGTCCCCTTAGCGGCTGAGTGCTAACATGATGTTCCCTGTATACACATGGGAATATCCCACTTATCTCCTATCCCTTGCCCCACTGCACTCTGAACCAATAAGAGAGGAAAAAAAAAAAAAAAAGAAAAAGAGAATATGCAGCTTCTTTCTTTAAACAGGTTAGCAAAAACCACAAAGCATTAAGTAGCGCTTTTCATCTCAATTTCTTCATACCTACACATATATGAATTTTCAGTGTAATTCTTGGAAGCACACATGAAATAAAAGTAGTCATTAAGCCTATTGCAGCATATCCAATGTACTTACTGTATAATTACTGTAAGCCTGTATTAAAAGTTTTTAAACTACATTACATTGTTGCTTTATAAGGTGGTACTGAATGCTTCTGATCAGATTTAAGCACTATAAATCAATAGTAATTGAATTATTACTGTTTGTGTTTATAGTGAGCCTATACTACCCCCCCCTTAAAAAAAAAAAAAAGCTGTTTTGACTTGAAATTCTATTTCTTACACTTACAGAGCCACTACATCCAGCAACTACACCTAAACTCCATAGCAAAATACTTACTGTATCCAAAGAGGCAGAGGCTCTTAAATCCGGTAGAAATCCAACCTCTAGCAGGTGAAGGAGGAAGCTTTGGTCCTTAATACCATAGACACGGTCCAAGAAAAGTACCATGGGTGCTTTATGATCAGGACAGAAATTTGCAGACATGTCTGGCTCATTTACTGTGCCATCTACACAAATATATAATGCCATTTTTAATAGTAGATAACTGACAAAGCAAGAAACACTAAGACAATGAAAGACACTATAACTACATGTAATGTATAAAATCTGGTTCAATTAAAATTATATTCTTCTTCAGTTTTCTTAGATGCTGAAAAATAATACTGAGTTTGTATTATTTCGAAAGCCCTATTATTTTGCAATTTATTAATGTTTCACTTTTAAATGTAAGCTTAAGAATGAATGGTCAACTATTCTACTTGTTTCATTGTTATTACAGAGAATGTTTATATGGTAAATTTAAAGACAAATATTGCTACAAATGTTAAAAATACATAGTAGCTGTGAATTCAAAGGATTTTAAGAATTTTAATGTTTGCCTCATGTAAACTAGACTAGAAAGAACGTGGAATCCAAAGGGAAGGCAACAGTAACACAGAAGTTAACTGTGTATCAGATAAGCCTTCTCTGACTGTAAAAGGGAATAGACAATTCTTGTGAAACAGAAAAGACAACAAAAGGAGGGGAAGGACGATAAAATTATTTTGCCCTAGAAGCAAATGACAGACAGATAATTTATAGCCCATGGAACATGGAGAAATTAACAGAACACATGGCAATCATGTGCCGTAAGAACCTCATCCTCTGTTGAGTTTATGCTATATAGAAAATTTCAGTTTGTATGATTATCTTGGAAGTTATTTTGTGGAAATACATCCACTCTGAATAACCACACTGTCATCTCCTCGGAAAGAACAGACATTTGCATAACAAGCAAGAACACCATCATCAACACACCTCTCCACTCTGAACTCTGATTTTGAATTATTTTTAACTGGAGTCTCCACTGACTCCCCCTTAACAGGTAGTTATATTTAAATTTAAACTAACAGTCTTCTTTAAATATAAATACGACTGTTAGTTCCACTGACAAAAACTCAGTTTCAACATCAGTGACATGTAGGGATCCAGGTACAGATAGGGAGCTATACAGTTTGATGCAGAGAGCGCAATAGGTTCATCTCATGCCCTGAGTTCAGGTTTTCTATATGCACACACGGTACACAATGTTTGGGTCTTCAGAGAATAGTCTCATTCCCAGCGGTGAGAATGGATAAATCAGAGTAGTAAGAGAAACAGACAGGTCCTACTGCAGCATAGCCTCAACTTCACAGCAGCAACTCTTGAGGTACTGAGGAGGACATAAGTCTTGGGGAAGGAGCATATCTATTTGGGAAGAGAAGAACCACTCCTTCACCCTGTGTCAGTATGTCTCATTGCACATAGGATTCTCCTGTGATACACAGGGTCTCCAAGGATATGAAGAAGCAGGCAGAGGAAGATTGTTCTATTAGGCAGTAAGCTAGGTGGCTTCATGATGTGTAAGAGGATTCCACGCCAACTTGTCTATACTTTATGGGTGGACCTTGTGGGAGACAAGCAGAGACCTTGAGTCTCAAATGATGGGTGAGATAATGGTGTAGAGAAGATGTGAGACTCATTATGAAAGAGGCAATTCTTTTGGCACAAGATGAACGGTACAGAAATAGCCTGCACCTTAATAAAAAAAGATATTGGACTTCTGGTATTGAACGTAAGAGGTCAGAGTAGGATATTATATGTAGAATGTGGGGAAATTCACCTCTCCTATGAAGAAAGGCTGAGAGAGTTGGGCTTGTTCAGCCTGGAGAAGAGAAGGCTCCGGGGAGACCTTATAGCACCTTCCAGTACCTGAAGGGGCCTACAAGAAATCTGTAGAGGGAATAATGTCTTTAGACATCAGGTAGATTTAGATTAGACATCTGGAAGAAATTCTTCACTATGAGTGAAGGTGGTGAGGCACTGGAACAAGTTGGCCAGAGAAGCTGTGGATGCCTCCTCCCTGGAAGCTTTCAAGGCCAGGCTGGATGAGGCTTTGAGCAACCTGGTCTAGTGGAAGGTGTCCCTGCCCATGGCAGGGGGGTTGGAACTAGATGATCTTTAAGGTCCCTTCCAACCCAAACCATTCTAGGATTCTATGAAATGACACTAGGAATACCTTCAGATCAGGACAATCCCAAAGCTGGTTTTCACTTCCTCTAACAACATCAGGGAAGAAAAAAATACCACTGATTCAAGAAAGAGGAAAGGCAATTAAAATGCAATGTTCATGTCCAACATTTTAATCAAAGACAAACAGGACTCTATACTGAGTCATCAGTGACCTGGAGAAGAAAGCAAACAAAGGAACCTAAAAGTCTGTATACACACTGAATTTGTCTGTATAGTTAAATTGTTAACCAAACTGAGTGGGCAAAGTAGACGGGGCTGCACCTCATCGCAGACAACTCTAAGCTAATGCCTCTGCAGAAAAATAAGACATTCCTACATGATGGTGGCATGGAACTGAGATTACAAAGAGATCCTGAGGTCATCACTGAAATTCTGTGAAACCACCAGTTCACTGTGTAGTAATGAACAAATAAGTCAACAAGATATTGGGCGCTCTTAGAAATGGGTACTCAGAATATGAGAGGACATAATTTTGCTGCTATATAAATTAGAAAATTAATACATAAGCCACACTATTGTGTGCCCACATTATCAGTACAACCTGCTTATGTTTTGTATACCTCCTACAGCTGTTTTCCACATCTCAGGACTGCAGGACAGAGATAGTGAAGGTATGCAGATGAGCAACAAACATGTTTCATGCAATGGAGCAGTTATGAGAAGAAACTGATAAAAGTAGAGATTCTTCAATATGGCAAAATACTACAATTAAACAATGTTAATCAAAGTTAGTAGAACATACATTAAAAAAAAAAAAAGAAAAAATTAAAAAAGAAAGGAACTTAAAAGGCTTCTTTTTGTAGCACATAGTGAAGTTCTGGAATTTATTGCCATGCGAGTTTGTGGGTACAGGAATTATTCCAAAGGGATTAGATACATTCTTGGACACCAGGTCCAGAAACAGATATTAATGGATAGGGAGGCACACTTTCTAACATCTTTCTAACAATTGAGTAGATGATGTGCAAATACACAGGGACTGAGTCAAAGCTTACACATTCGACCTGAAGAGATCACATCTCACAGCCACTGCTGGAGACAAAGTACTGGGATGAACAGCCCATTAGTGTCATGCTGTAAAGTATTTTTTGTGTTCTTACATTCTCTGCTCCACGGGAGTAAATATCTGTTCTAGTGGAGCAGCTATAATTGATACATTAGTAATAAAAATCTAAAGAACCAGATTCTCTGATGTACTTAACTCTAACAAAAGTGCTCTATTTTACACCTGACGGCTTTTGTGTCAAAAGATTTTTTATAAAAAGATGAACAAGTCTAATAAAAGTATTGAAATTACCTTTGTTAACTGTTGACAGCTTTAGTGGTATACTTATAATCCCAACCAAATCTTCAGTTGGCACTAGAGATCGAAGGATTGACCTGATTCGAATAGCTTCCCCTTTTCCACTTTGAATAAGCTATTAGAAAAAGTGTATCAATTAAGAAATTTAGTACTGAAGGACATAAGAAAAATTTCCTCAAAATACTGATATTAATTTTTTTTTTTTAAACACTGGAAAAAAAATGTACAGAAATTCTATTTATCCTAGCTCGCTAATGGAGGTGTCAATATTAAGCTGATCCTACTTCTGATTCTATCCTAATTTTTATATCATATCATACCACTAATTTCACAATATTATAAATTCCCAATAACACAAAAAAGCCTCACATGGACATATTTCTAAACTAATCAGATAAAATGATGAAGCTGAAAATTTCTGAAAGGCTCACATTACTTATAGAACATACAGTGCCAGGTTTTGAGCTTGTCTTTTCATACTATAAACAGATGCAAACCTCTCTGATGTATCTACACATTTTTCTGTTATTTCTATGCAGTAAATTTTCAAAAGCTATTAACAATGATGAGATGACCATCCTTTCAAATTCTCACAGAAATTATCTATTCAGAACCTGTGTCTCTGAAAATTTCTTCCAGTAATTTGCTTGACATGAAACTACCATCTCTGGAAACAGACAGACACATACAGATTTACAGCTAATAAAGTTAATAGCTTTAGTTTATAAGTAGGGAGGCTACAAGCCAAATTTCTTGCTTCTTGTACTGAGATACATATTGCATTTTCAGCTGGATTTATGTTACTAAAGAATTTTAAACATTGAGAAGCAAAAGTCAAACTAAAAACAAGTATTGCATGTTACAGAAACTAGTCAAAACAATTATTTTACGTATTTTTCCATGTATTCATGTGGTGTAGATACCATATTTAATCAGTGCACTCAGTGCAGCTCTGTATCACATTCTTATGAAAATTATTTTTATGGCTTTCTAGAGAACAGTAAAGGGCCAGTTTCAGAAATTTAATTGGTAGCTTAAATGAGCAATACTAGTAGTTCATCTTTGCTTTGATTCCATAGGCACATAAGAATTCTCAAAATTTTAGCTAAATAAAAAAGTGTAAGGAATCAAAAGACTATGATTATTTATGAATGGCTTACAGGCAACTCATCTGTCTAGATACAGTGAGAAATGCAATAAAGTCCACCTTCCAAACGGAAAAAGCCATTAGAGAACAGTTTAGTAAGACATGTACAGTTCTGCTTACGTATCTCCTACATTTTCTAAGCAACTGATGAAATAAACTTACATGCATTTCTGGTGCACAGCGTCCAAGTAAATCTATGAGAGCTGAGTAAAAGGACATGATTGCATTGCCCATGTGCACAATCTCCTCCTCATCATCGTCATCATCACTAAAAGATAAAATGATACCAGTGAGCATTTTTGCTAAGTTTGTATCTCTTCTTGGGAGCTATATCCATGATCCAGAGACTATTGATCAGATACATTAATTTCCTCTGGCTCCAGATTACAGGGTTTTTATCCCTAGAGTAAGCAAGCAATTCATCAGTTATAACTGACTTCACACAAGACTTCTATCTTCCTCTTTCACTTTACCTTAGCTTCATTCCACAACAGCCTTCTTTGCTTTGTCCTTCAGGCTTCTTTGCTTCTGTAACTCTTACTCCACTTTCATCTAGCTCATGCTTTATGAATTCCATATGACAACTGCTTGTGGGTGTGAATCTCTAATGCTCTCTGTATAATGCCTTACAGAACAGGGCCTATTATCCACATATTGAAAGCATGATTAAAACAGCAATTAAATCATCATTTGCCAAACAAATACTGACATTTACTTACCTTTCTCTTTTATATGCCTGGGAGGGAAGGTCACGAGTAGGATTCTCTGAGATCCTGATAGCTTCCTGCATAGCTGCCAGCAAACCATTTCCTCCTTCTCCCCTAAGGTCTGGTCCAAAGCACTCTGGCCGTCGAATAAGGAGCTTGACAACAACACTTGCATTTTCCTCAACACTTTCACCTGGGGACCAAAAAGCACTATAAATATTTTCTCCTGAAAGGCATAATTAAGTCAGAAAACAACTGCATTTTCCCCTAAATTTTACAAAATATGAAATAAATTCTCATTCTTTTTTTTGGGGTGGGGGAGGAGGAAGATATCCAGTTGGCAGCATTTTATGTGCTTTATAAAAAAAACAGTGAGGTTTAAAAGTGACAATGTAGAGTTGCCTTGGAAAAGTTTTACTACACTCAATCTGGAAACATTCACTTTAGAAGGCTACTTTTGCTCTCTCTGGTATAACGGCTAATAGTCCCAAGAGCCAAGATGCCTGCTAATGGGGAGGACAGGAAGGAAGTTTTGACTCCAGCCAACACCCCTGGCCTGTCGCTCTTTTCTCTCTCCTGCAGGACAGGGAGAAAATAGAAGGAAGGTGTGACGACTGGGGATCAAGATAATGACTGTCTAGTAGAGAAAGCAAAAGCTATGCATGCAAGCAAAGCAAGAAGACAAATTCATTCACTGCTTCCCTGGCAGATGTTTGGCCAGTTCCTGGAAAGCAGGGCCTCAGCACGCGTAATGGTTGTTTACGAAGACAAGCACCACAACCATGAATGTCCCCCTCTTCCTCCTCCTTGCCCTGAGCTTTTATTGCTGATCACATCATGGCAGGAATATCCCTTTGGTCAGCCTGGGTCAGATGTCCCAGCTGTGTCCCCTCTCATATCTACCCTGAACCTACTTACTAGGGCTGGGTGGGGGGGGGGGGGGGGACAACCAAAACAGGAAGTCTTCAGACTGCACAAGGACTGCTCAGGAACAGTCAGAACACCAGTAAGTTATCAACACTGGTTTAGCCATAAATGAAAAGCACAGCACTATACAGGTTGCTATGAAGAAAGTTAACTCTATCCCAGCCAGACCTTATACATTGTGTGAGAGTTATTTGATTTTTAATGGGCCAACTGAAGCAAGGAGTGTTGTTTGACATTATGTCCTTAGTGCTTCATCAGTGGAAAACTTAACTCAGAGTTTAGTCTTCTCAATATGACTAAAGAACAACAAATTGTATTTTAGGTTAAATGTACACAGAATATAGCATCTCCTGATTATTATTACTGCATGTTTAAATATTCATTAAATATTCTGTTTGCTCTTTAAAGCCTGAAATTGAATACTTCATTTTTTCTGTATGCAAAAATCACATTAAAATCAGCTTTAAAGGTCCTGGCTTGCCTGAAACAACCTCATTTATAACAGCTTTGTGTGGAAACATGTATATATATCTGAAAGCAGAAAATAATGGGTTTAACTATTGTACAATTTCAGTACAGGCGGACAGGTTGTGATCTAGATGCTTGCTGAATATAAGTCATTAGGAAAAGGAAACCATACAAATGAACTCTTCATATGTAATTAAGTGCTTTATGGACTGCAGTTACTGGCATGTGGAAGCATGATAAGAATAATAATTGGGTCAAAACCTCAGCTTTGAAAGTGTTTAGAAATTCACAGTGCCTACTTTATAAGAATACTGATAATCTGGAGGAAGATATGAAATTAATGGGACATGTAGGAAGAAAACAAATTACAGGAAAAGAAACAGTTCACAGTCACGGAACTTGTGATGTCAGTAGCTTGGATCATCAGTATCTACATTTTACATGCAACCTACAATATGAAATCAGTACAGAAATAAAAGTAGCAAGTAGCTGAATGTTGCAGCTTTAGCAACTGTCAAAAAATTAGGATTAGAAATGGTGGCTTAGTTGACAGCAGCAGTGGGTCTACCAGGAAATCAGAGTCAATGGAAGGCAATGGTAGATGAGATAACTGGGACTGACTGGCTCTAGAAGGAGCAGCTAAACCCTTTAAACATGACAGTGTTGTATTTTTCCCCAATTAAAACACCAGTATGCTCTTGATAAGGAAGATAAGGCAAGAGGAAATGGCCTCACATTGCACAAGGGGATGTTTAGATTGGATATTAGGAAAACTTTCTTCACTGAAAGGGTTGTCAAGCATTATAGAATCATAGAATCACAGAATGGTTAGGGTTGGAAGGGACCTTAAAGATCATCTAGTTCCAACCCCCCTGCCATGGGCAGGGACACCTTCCACTAGACCAGGTTGCTCAAAGCCTCATCCAGCCTGGCCTTGAACACTTCCAGGGATGGGGCATCCACAACATCTCTGGGCAACCTGTTCCAGTGCCTCACCACCCTCTCCATGAAGAACTTCTTCCTGACATCTAATCTAAACCTCCCTGTTTTCAATTTGTACCCATTACCCCTTGTCCTATCACTACAGGCTCTTGTAAAAAGTCTTCACCCAGCACCCTTGTAGGCCACTTCAGATACTGGAAGGCTGCAATGAGGTCTCCTCGGAGCCTCCTCTTCTCCAGGCTGAACAAGCCCAATTCAGGCTGGAACGTTTGCATTTAGGGATATGGTTTAGGGTAGACTTGTCAGTGTTAAGGTTAGAGTCAATGATCTTAAGGGTCTTTTCCAACCTAGATGATTCTGTACCCTAACTACTAACTTTGCAAAGAGGTTTTTTTCTTTTTCCTTCCCTTCTTTCTTCTTTTCATTCACCTTATTTTCATACTGAAGGGAAAAAGCAGGATTTTAAATCTTAAATCAACAATTTATTTTCATTGTTTAAAAAATTCTAAGTGAAGATTTTTTAAACAACGAATTAAGTAAAATCTAATATCAAAAAAATTTACTACATACCTCCCTATAGATACACAAATGATCATCAAAACATGCATAACATTCAGCTAAAGTTACCAGTTGCTTCTGAATTCTTACATGTTTCATGTATTTTTTGAGGAAGCAAATACGAAACCCCCTTAAAAACTGTAAGGGGCTGTTTGAATCCATGTTGCACAATCATATAACAAATACAAATAAAATTATCAAATGTAATTAATTTTTACATTAATAAAAGCACTACCAATATTGGTTTGAATGACTTATTTCCAATACAGTTTAGATCTACATGTTAAAAATTTATCTTGATTACGGCAGTTTTTGACACACCAGGGATAGTTTTGTGAGGACTGCAATTAAGAGTAAAAGCAAGCACTTATTGGCAAAAGCTCCTTGCAGATAGTTTTAATTTAGAATGTGAAGTAAAGAAACTTACTTTAATAAAGGAGGTCAAATTAATCTGTAATGTTGCTCTACTGAAGTAAACTAAAGTTTATCAAGAATTAATTAGTCTAAATTTTCAAGTTACAATTTCTTGTACAGTGCATTTGCCACTAGAATGTTATTCTGACCCTCTCTGTATATACATTTCCTTTTCATATCCCTTCTATTGGGATACCAAACTGCTGAAAATGTCTCTCATGCTCTAATTTATTTCACAGGCAAAGTTAATGAAGAATTTTGCTTGAAGAAAAATGTTTTCCTTATTCCCAGGATTCATTGGCCAGAATCAAAATTCATTCATGTGTTTACAAGTATGTGTTTGTTCTTTTTTCTAAACAACCCATATGTTTTATTAATTTATATTTGTAATTGTCCTCTCAGGCAGTGAACACAGAGAAGTTAGCAATCTCATTTTCAAAAGTGCTGTCTCCAAATCTTTCATAATGAGAAGGTTCAAAACTCCAACCTGAACTGTTTTTCAGAAAAAAAAAGCAGCTGAAACACTTGAAAGTAAAACTTAATTGTACTGACTAGCAGTCCATCCAGCAAAGTTTACTCTTCATACTAAATAAACAATCACAAGTAAGATCAAATTTATCTTAGTCTAATTGCACGGAGTACTGCTAACATATATTTATAAAATCAAAAATGGAAAACACATGCTTCATTAACTCAATGATTATCTACATTTCTTGTACCATAGCAGTTTGCCAAGTTAAGCTAGCAGCTCACTCAATAGCTACAAGCTTATCAACTAATGAACATACTTCAGGTAAGTTTACTGAACTGAAAAGTAAATATGTTTATTGTTTCTGTTTCAGGTATTATTTGCTATTTTCAGACCAACAGTATGTGAACATAACAGCCAAAATCTAAAAATTACACTAGTTAAAGTTATCTCCCTTCTGGCTGTCCTTAGCTACCCTATAAAACACTTTCCATATTGGCAGACCAGATAGGTGGTGAAGAAACAGATCTTTTAATTTCATCTAATCTCTAACCTAAACTACTACTTTAATGGAAAAAAAAACCACATGAATTGGAGGATGATTTTGTTTAGTGTCATTCAGATAATCTAAATATGATTTTAGCATATTTGTTTCATAAATTTCAAAAGAAAATTTCCCTTAGAAGCAAGTATAAGATAGCTACCAAATATGAAGATCTGTTCCTTTTTTAAGACATCAGACTTAAGGGACACGGTCAGGGTGTTTTACAAACACTGATCCCTCAGAAATATGTAATCATGTGACTAAATGGAAATTTGCTTTCTGTAATGCAAAATGGCTTAATCACAAACCTCTGTATCTCTCACTAGTATGGTGGCCAAGAAAGGTCTAAAATCAGTACCCACTGGTTATGTTTATAACCAGCATATGTGGCATAGGTAAATACCACACTTTACTTACAGAAAGAATTCATAACATCAATTGCTACCTTAACAGGTTACTCTATTAGACTATGCAAGTTGCAAAAAGAGTAAGGAAAAAATGCAACTATGAAAATTCAGAAAATTACAGTAAGAAGCATAGACCAATAATCTTGTGCTTGTAAAGAGAAGAGTATGCATTAACCTCTCCATCCATTAACACATCTTTATGGTTGGAAAAGTAATTTTAAGGAAACCTTTTGATGAAATTTGGATGGCAAAAAATTACACTTACTGTTAACAAAAACTGCAAATCTTAAGAATGACAGGTAACGTTCACCCTCTATTGGATTCCATCCAATGTCTGGATATCCTTTAGCCAGCAATACTGGACAACTCTGCAGGCCACAACCTGCCAGGTAAGTGACAACCTACAATATAGAAGCAATGATTTATTCATGTGTTTAGAAATTAATTTCTAAAAATAAGTTTGTAACAAAATTAACATAGTATTTTTTTTTATATAACAAGGTTTTCAAATACTAGGTGTTTCACCCGAGAAATTACCAACATAGCTCATTATTGCATCAGTCTTAGTTTCTAGTTCTTGCTTCTGATGATGAAAAAATTCAAGCATTCTTTATTTGTGAAATTACCCAACTACATGATGACACAACAATACAATATGAACAAATGTGGAATATGAAAAGAAAAATAAAATATTGTGGAATTCAGATCCTTTTTTACAGCACATAAACAACAGTTAAATATTATTTAAGAACTTTTAAAATCACATCAATCACCATGTATGGCTAATTTGCTACAATAGCAAAATAAATATGACATCAAAAGTTTATTTAGTGTAATTTCTATTTTAATAGATATGAAAGCAGTTACATTTTTCAGAAGACTGATAAATAACAGTGAACAGTTTTAAGAGTCTAAAACAGGAAAGATAAAAATTTTTGGTAATATGCAACCTCCTAACACAGCATGTCTTTTCTTTAAGAGAAATCTTTGAGAAATCATGACAAATTTCCTTAAATTAAATTTCATTAATTCAGTAAAATGATTTTCTGAAATATGCAGAATAATTTCTCAGACATTTAAAAGGAAATTTGTAGGTTACTGCGCAAACATGATTTCTGTTTTTATTTAAAATACACAAAGGACAACATATGAACATGATTATATACTTAAGTATATTTTGACAGAGATAATGAACATAAAGAAATTTTTATGAACTTGTAAAAAGAGAGGCAAATTATCATTTCTTAAAATGGAAGGCAGCCACAAACAGGTGGCAAAAGGGAGATAGGTTTTTATATTTGAAAAAGGAAAATATGTTATTCTGCCTAAGAGCTCTATAGCAATTCCATCATCCAGGAGACCACAGTTAGCCATTACCTAATACCCTAAGAGGAAAACTAGTTATGAATTCAGGAAAAAGACTTATTCTTCTGCTGATACACTATACAAGTTGCCTCCAAAAGGCTGCAACAGAGCAAAAATGGGCTGGTGTGAAAAATTTGCTTATTACAGTGTGCAGTAAAGAAGTTAGTGCACTTGGCGGAAAAAGTATGCAATTCCTAACAGGTCTCAATAGTTTCTTAGTATCCATTCAGAAGATATGAGTGAATACACACCTGCAGGATGGAATCTAGAGATGCAGCTCATACAGAATGTGAGAAAGCCAGTAGAATAAATCTCTTCTCCATCTCTTTTCAGATTTTATGATGCTGCCACCAAACCCCATAATTTGAATCTATTCAGTTTGCTACAGTTTGTCATCAGGCTGTGGGATACTTTTCTTGTGCAATCCTCTACCTTCCCCACATTCACACATTTCCAGTCAAAAGACATCAAATTTGCAATGGCAAAAGTTCAAAAGTTAAGTTGCCTCTGTGCAATTTATTTGCTTTGAGCACAGGCTTTATGCTACAAACTTTAGTCACACAGAAATGCTGTATCATTCTGTGAGTAGAGTATGTATGCCGCATTCATCAAATTGACAGCTATACAGTATTTGGTTTTTATTGTTATTCAGTATATAGATTTGTTTACTGAATAACATTCACCTACTGCACTAGGTAAAGTTATTGACTCATCAAAGTTAATATATTATGGCCAATACATTACCATTCTTACAGCTAAAATGGCCAATGCATTTGGTAAGCCCAGTCTGAGACACATACAGCCCGACTTTTCAGTATAAAATACTGTGCACGCTGCAGCTGGTATCTATTTGAATATTCAGCAGTTGTACAGTGCCAAGTATTCCAAGGTAAGCAACCAGTAAATGAGATTCATGCAGTTAATGGTCAACAGTGAAATTCAGTTTAAGTGACTTGCCCTTCAGTACTTTTCATGAAAATATGAAACAGTCACCGGTGGCTTTCCAGTCACTAGTGGTGTATCTCAAGGGTTGACACCAGGGCCAGTATTGTTTAATGTATTAATGGCAACACAGAGTGCACTCTCAGCTATGTTGCACGTGATGCAAAATTGATAATTGTTCTCAACATTACCTTTATCTAATTAGTATATTCCTGTGCTCTTTCACACCCTTCCCACCATATTCTTGTCTCTGTCTTCTCCTAGCTATCGCCATCATACATCCACTTACTTCTATTTCTCAACTTTTCCTCTCCCACAGAATATGCTGATCACAAACACCTCACAAACAGAACTACTCTCATCACAGAATTATCCCGTTCTGCACAGAGGCTTTCCCTGTGCTAAGCTATCATTTAGTTGCTTAACTGCATTTATAAGGGGGTTGTTATAACTTATATATAACATTATAAACTCCATTTATAATGGGCTTGTTCAGCCTGGAGAAGAGAAGGCTCCGGGGAGACCTTATAGCACCTTCCAGTACCTGAAGGGGCTACAAGGAAGCTGTGGGGGACTTTTTACAAGGGCCTGTAGTGACAGGACAAGGGGTAATGGGTTTAAACTGAAAGTGGGGAGCTTTAGATTAGATATCAGGAAGAAATTCTTCACGGAAAGGGTGGTGAAGCACTGGAACAGGTTGCCCAGAGAAGCTGTGGATGCCCCATCCCTGGAAGTGTTCAAGGCCAGGCTGGATGAGGCTTTGAGCAACCTGGTCTAGTGGAAGGTGTCCCTGCCCCTGGCAGGGGGGGTGGAACTAGATGATCTTTAAGGTCCCTTCCAACCCAAACCATTCTATGATTCTATGACAATAAACCCTGACTTCAGTTTTATGATGCGTATCACTTCCTTTCCCTGCTTTCCTTCTCTTCTGACTGTGCACCCATCTTCCATCTCTTGATCCATTTTCCTCCCTGGATATACAAAGAACTTTCATGTCATTTTTTCTTTCCTTTTACCCATAATTTCCAGTTCATCCTGCCTCTCCTCAAATTTCCCTTTATTCCTAACCATTCCCAATGACCCGAGTCCTGGATTCAGTTTCGTACTGCAACTACCATTAAAATCCTGTTCCAACTTCCCTTCTCCAAATACCTGCCCTTCCATTCTCTTAGATCCTACCTCCATCCCCATCAATCTATGATTTATTTAAGCCAGGAGTTTTGCTTCCTTTCTTCACATTCTCCTCTTAATTCTCAAATTTGCTCTTTCCAAAACAATGATTCTTGATATGCCTTTCTCCTGTTTCACACCCTTTTTCTTGTCATCATTTCTACCCGATGACAATAGTGAAATGATGCAGAAGATAGAAATAAATCTCTCTTGCTGTGATTTCCACTAAACATAAACCCAAATCAAGGAAAACACTGCTTGGTCAATCTTACCTTGAGACAGCACAGTCATATAACAAATATTTCTGAGGAGATCATGCCCGAAAATTACCCTTTTCCTTTACAGCACAACTACACTATTTAATAAATATTTAAATACGTCTGTGATCACTTACTTTATCGAGATCTGGCTCCTCCAATGCTAGTGCAAGCTCATTGTTGTCCATTACAGAGGCTGCTGCAACATCAAGCGGTGTCGAACCTCTCATGGAAGGAAATGCTGCAGAAGAAAGTTAATATACAATAATTAAATTCAGTTTGCAGCAGTCACAGTCATGCAGCAGAGGGCAGCAATCACACTGGAATCTAGAACATAAATATACTAATAGTACATTGTATGGCTGTTCTTCAGTCAAGAGCATGGTAAACTGATTTGAATAATGTTAAAATAAATGCTGATTTTTTTTTTCTGACTTCACATCCATATATAAAAACATACTCAAGCACACTGGTTTCAAATGCAGATGAAGAAACCAATATATTGGCAACATAAGAAATCAGACTATTATACTATTTCTTTAGCAGAGCAGCATGTTAACTATGTAATTCTACAAACCCTATCGTTTCAAGATTGAAAAATATGCATATTTTCAGCTAAAAGAGAGATTTTCAAACTCCACTGTCACCTGTTTCCTTTCTTTTAGTCTTGACCCATTTTCTGTGTTGAATATAGGTAAATTCAGGCATTGAAATGGTCACCATGAACAGCTAAATCACTGGAAATCACACACTACCTTGCCTTGCTACAGCTTATTAATATAGACATCTATCTAGACAATACAATTTTCCTTGTGTTACAAAATCTAATGCACACACCTTAAAAAACATACACACAGTGTTCCCTCCCCCCCAAAAAATTACAAAATTCACATCAGTGGCCTAAATTTTAGAGGGAAGAGAATCGTAGAGTCACAGAATGGTTAGGGTTGGAAGGGACCTTAAAGACCATCTTGTTCCACCCCCCCTGCCATGGGCAGGGACACCTTCCACTAGACCAAGTTGCTCAAAGCCTCATCCAGCCTGGCCTTGAAGACATCCAGGCATGGGTCATCCACAAGTTCTCCAGGCAATCTGTTCCAGTGCCTCACCATCCTCTCCATGAAGAATCTTCTTCTGATACCTAATCTAAATCCACCCTCTTTCAATTTAAACCTGATACCCCTTGCCCCGTCACTACAGACCCTTGTAAAAAGCCCCCTCCCAGCTTCCTGTAGGCCCCTTCAGGTACTGGAAGGTGCTATAAGGTCTCCCCGGAGCCTTCTCTTCTCCAGGCTGAACAAGCCCAACTCTCTCAGCCTGTCCCCATAGCAGAGGCGCTCCAGCCCTCTGATCATCTTTGTGGCCTCCTCTGGACTCACTCTAACTGGTCTATATCCTTCTGATGAT